AGAGGAAGGGAGAGGGACAGAGAGTCAGAAACATCGACGAGAGAGAAACATCGACCAGCTGCCTCCTGCACACCCCACACCAGGGATGTGCCTGCAACCAAGGTACATGCCCCTGACCGGAACTGAACCTGGGACCCTCCAGCCCGCAGGCCGAGGCTCTATCCACTGAGCCACACTGGTCAGGGCGACATTCGGGATTTTATCAGGCCCGGGGGACAACAGGGGGCAGCACTCCTTCCCCCCATCGCTGTGCTAGGGGTGGGGAGGGGTGGGGTGGGGACATTTCCCACCATTCAGGACAGCGATCCATCCGGAATGTCCAGCCCTTGGGCGCGGAAGGCCCTGCCAAGGTATTGGGGGCGAGTTAATCCCATGTCTGACCAAATAGGCTGATTTTTAAAAAATATATTTTATTGATTTTTTACAGAGAGGAAGGGAGAGAGATAGAGAGCTAGAGACGTCGATGAGAGAGAAACATCGACCAGCTGCCTCTTGCACACCCCCTACCGGGGATGTGCCCACAACCAAGGTACATGCCTTTGACTGGAATCGAACCCGGGACCCTTCAGTCCACAGACCGAAGCTCTATCACTGAGCCAAACCGGTTTCGGCCAAATAGGCTGATTTTTTAATCTTATTTAATTGATTTCAGAGAGGAGGAAAGTGGGAGGGGAAGAGAGAGAGAGAAACATTAATGAGGAGAACCACAGATCAACTGCCTCCTGCATACCCCCTACTGGGGATGAAGGCCACAACCTGGGCATGTGCCCGGACCAGGAATCGAACCCGGGACCCTTCAGGGTGCAGGGAACGCTCTACCCACTGAGCCACACCGGCCAGGGGCTCATTTTTAAGCCAAAGCCCTCTACGGCAGGCATGACGCCATACACACCCAAAGGGCCCCTGGCAGGAAGCGGGCTCCCAGGCAGGGTGACCCGGGCTCCGCACCTGCCAGCTGACGCTGTGACATCCCCCCCTTCCCGCACCCCACGACCCCACCCCACAGCGTCGCGGGGCAGGAGCCTGACACCTAAGGCTCCCCAAGCCCCTCAAGAGTAAGGCGACCAGATTTTAACATTGGTAAAGCGGACACCATTGACGGGGGTGGGGTGGGGGGTGGGGGCTGGTTCTTGATTAAAAATTGGGTCTATATGGAGCCACAAAAATTTTCATAGAACGCAAAAATAGTAATTTTTTTTTTCAGGATTCATGGCCAAACATAACTATTTATTTTTGTAATAAACATTCAGTATCTATATTTATTTTTTAATTTCAACATAGGTAAGTACAATTTACAAATAGAATAAATTTTAAAAAGTATGTATAGCGTTATTTTATTCTTTGGCATAGTTCTCATTTGAGTGGATTCCAGCAACTGATCAGCCATGCGAACTTTGATAAGCGGTTCTCGATAATCAGTTCTCCACCATGATTTGTTATGATTAAAGTTTAACCCCATGACAAAATGAACAAAAACAATATAAAGCTCATATCCTGGCTACACAGCCAGGGGCCGCCGAACACCGCGTATTCCCTCCCCGGCGCGTCCTGCATTCTTTCCAGAAAAGGGACTTTTCTAAAGCGCCGCGGGAGGGACGCGGGACACGTGGGAAAAGCGGGACTGTCCCGCCAAAAGCGGGACGCCCGGTCTCCTTACCCTGAGCCACAGCGCCCCCGAGGGTGCTCTCTCCCGGGTCCTCAGCGCAGCCCGCGGAGACGGGGGACGGGGTGCGGTTAGGGGGCCCCCCGCCCCCCAAAATCCTGCTGCTCGGACCCCGGACCCCCCTCCCCACGGCCGCGCCCCCGACACCTGCCGCGCTCACCTCCGCCCTCAGCTCCCCTGTTCGCAGTGGTGGCCTCGGGGGGCGGGGTCCGAGGGGGCGGACTCCCCGCGGGGCTGCAGCCGCAGCCCCGGGCCAAGCCCTCCGCCCGCCCCGCCTGTCCGTCCCGCCCCGCCTGTCCGCCCCGCCCCGCCCCGCCTGTCCGCCCCGCCCCGCCCCGCCTGACCGCCCCGCCCCGCCCCGCCTGACCGCCCCGCCCCGCCTGTCCGTCCCGCCCCGCCTGTCTGTCCCGCCCCGGCCCGTCCCGTCCCGCCTGTCCGCCCCGCCCCGCCCCGTCCCGCCTGTCCGCCCCGCCCCGCCCCGTCCCGCCTGTCCGCCCCGCCCCGCCCCGCCCCGCCCCGCCTGTCCGTCCCGCCCCGCCCCGCCCCGTCCCGCCCCGCCTGTCCGTCCCGCCCCGCCTGTCCGTCCCGTCCCGCCTGTCCGTCCCGCCCCGCCTGTCCGCCCCGCCTGTCCGCCCCGCCCCGCCCCGTCCCGCCTGTCCGTCCCGCCCCGCCTGTCCGTTCGCCTGTCCGTCCCGCCCCGCCCCGCCCCGTCCCGTCCCGCCTGTCCGTTCGCCTGTCCGTCCCGTCCCGCCTGTCCGCCCCGCCCCGCCTGTCCGTCCCGCCCCGCCCCGCCCCGCCCCGCCCCGCCTGTCCGCCCCGCCCCGCCTGTCCGTTCGCCTGTCCGCCCCGCCTCGCCCCACCTGTCCGTCCGCCTGTCCATCCGCCTGTCCGCCCCGCCCCGGCCGCTGAGACGCGCCCCGCCTTCCCACCTGCCACCGCCCACACTTCGCAGCCGCGCACGCGCACGCACGACGTCAGCCCCGCCCACCGCCCCTCCCCGCTGTCTCCATGGAACCCAAGGGACGCGCTCGCTCACGCCGGTTCTCAGAGCCCTGGCCGGAAGTGGGCGTGTCCTGGCGCAGCAACGCCCCCTGGGAAATGTAGTCCCCGCTGGGCAGCAGCGAAGCAGGCCACTGGAGCTGTCCTACAAGGTTCGCCTTGGGTCCTGGTGATCACCAACTCCTACAGGCGCCTCCTGGTCCGGAATAGAACCTTTTGGAGCCCGCTCAGCCCTGACCCGACACTGGGTCCCAGGAGCGGGGCCGCCTCCATGGTGCCTCCCCAAGTGGGGGGTGGGGGGGTTCCTGGGAGCCAAGGGCAGGCTCCGCAGGCTGAGAGCCACCAGCTCCAGGGCCTCCGGGCGAGTTGGGTACCGGGCACTTGGGCCTGTGAAGCCTGAGTCAGGCCGTGGGCGGGGCTCAGAAAGGCCGGTCCAGGGGATGGATGGTGCCTGCAGGACAGGAGGGTCTGATAGGTCCTCCCTTCCCCTGACGGATGGAGGGAGAATGACATAAACTCCCCCTGCAGCCGGATATTCCCGAGCACCTAGCCAGGCACCTGACATGGACTGGACACTGAACCACCATCAGCACCTGCCAAGTACCCTAAGCCCCGATTCCTAAGTCCCTAGGTCCCTAATCATGTTCCTTATGTGAAACCACCAATCAGCGCATGCTGAGTGCCCTAAGCCTCCCCCCTCCCCAATACCTAAGTCCCTAGGACCCTAATCATGTGCCTTACATGAAACCTCCAAACAGAGTGTGCTGAGTGCCCTAAGCCCTGCCCTTCCCTTTCCTCCTCTCAAAAGGCCTGTTCACACACACACACACACACCCCAGGTGTGCTCTCTCCCTTCAGGAGGCGGCCCGGCAGGTCCTTCTCCTCCAGTAAAGCCTGTGTCCTGCTCTCTGGCCTCTGTCTCATCTCTCAGGCTCAGCTTTTGCCTGCTGCTCTGCATGGTAATGTGTGACTTGGGGAGTGTGTGTGGGTAGCCTGCCGCTCAGTCCTCCCTGGCTGAAATCTACCCCGTGCCCATGTTGTCACGCTCCCCGCCCACCTCCCACCCCACCCCCCGCCGGAATGAGGGCCCTGTGAAGGCACACTGCTTCCAGGTCTTGTTTAGGGCCGTCTTCTTGCCAAATAAAAAAAAAAAAAAAAAAAGAGTCTGGCGTATCGTCAAATGTCTCCTAACATGGGCATGTTCTGAGAAACAAGTCCTTAGTTGGTGACTTCCTCATTGTGTGTATGAAAACAGATTTCAACGTATGTGCTGAAAAACATACACACCAACATGCAGACATACACTGGGTGGCCATATTATGCTCTCTGAACACACAGTAATCTGGCAACGCAGTGATAATAAAAGGCTAATATGCAAATTTCCCCCTCCTCCAGGAGTTTGACCGTCAGGTAGGCCGGCAAACTGCCCATGTCCCTTACCCCTGGCCAGGCTGGCTGGACACTAACCATGCACGAATTCATGCCCTTGACCAGAATCAAACCTGGGCCCCTTCAGTCCTCAGGCTGACACTTTATCCAATGAACCAAGTCGGCTGGGGCTGCTGACTCCTACTCTAAGGTATACCTCAGGTTAATGGTTCCTTGAAAGTTTAAGAGAACTCATTCATGAGTCCAGGTGACTTTAAATAGATCAAATCTTGCCAAGTTTTCTAATTCTCGAATAACATGTCTGTAGTCTTAACTGTACTCATATAAACCTTGCATTTTTCTGATTGTTCCAGGTGGCCTATTCATCCATCTTCCCTACACACTTCCTAAGACTGTTGTTAGTTGTAAAGCTGAATCCTCTCACCAGGTGCACCTTCCATTCATGCAGATAAGGTGGAAACCACAACAGGAACTCAGCAAAATGGGGTCAAGTTTGAAAGCAACACAGGCAAAGCCTCATTGACTTCCCCAAACTCCTGTTCCCAATCTAAACTCTTGTCCCGCCTGGTCTTGTATTATGCACCGTTGTTATTCAGGGCGAACTACGGCCATGCTTCCATGTCCCAAAATGTTCTTCAAGGAGCTACAGCCACTCACACTTAATGTGGACGAGGCACTGTTCTAAGAGCATCTCAGGCAGTAACCAGTTTGGATGGTCTCATGGCAAGTTTTTTGTTTTAAATATATTTTATTGATTTTTTACAGAGAGGAAGAGAGAAGGATAGAGAGTTAGAAACATCGATGAGAGAGAATCATCAATCAGCTGCCTCTTGCACACCCCTACTGGGGATGTGCCCGCAACCAAGGTACATGCCCCTGACCGGAATTGAACCTGGGACCTTTCAGTCTGCAGGCTGATGCTCTACCCACTGAGCCACACCGGTTTCAGCTCATGGCAAGTTTTTGTGTCAGAAGTGAGTGAATTACATTCATACCCAAACCGACCTGACTGCCGAGGGAAAAGGAAGCTTGTGGAGGACAAAAACAAAAGAGCAGTGAGACCAGCCTGTACACTGCCGTAGTCATCTAGCTGAAACGGGGATACGGAGACTCCGAGGAGGGAGTCAGGACGGGTTCCAGAGATATCTGGGGAACAGATCCACGGGACTCGACGTGGAGGGCAAAGAGGGGCGCGCGGACGGCTCCCCGGCACGAATTCGCTGGTGAGCGCAGTGAGCGCTCTGCCTGAAGGCCTTCCTGCTCCTCTTGCAGTCGCAGGGCCTCTCTCCGGTGTGGACTCGCTTGTGCTGATTGAGGTGCCCGATCTGGATGAAGGCTTTCCGACACTCCTTGCACTCGTACGGCTTCTTCCCAGAATGGATCCGCTGGTGCACGCTGAGGGACTGCCGGTGGCTGAAGGCCTTGCCGCACGCAGGGCACGCGTAAGGTTTCTCTCCGGTGTGGCTTCTGCGGTGACAGATCAGGGAGGACTTGGTCTTGAAAGCCTTCCCGCACTCCACGCATTCATAGGGCCGCTGGCCGGTGTGCAGCCTCTGGTGCTGAGTGCAGGACGAGTTGTCACCGAAGGCCTTCCCGCACTCGGCGCACTTGTACGGCTTCTCTCCCGTGTGGACTCTCTGGTGCTGGGCGAGGTGCGTGGTCTGGCTGAAGGCCTTCCCGCATGCCTTACACTCGTACGGCTTCTCCCCCGTGTGAGTTTTCTGATGCTGTGCGAGGTGGGCCTTCTGGGTGAAGGCCTTGCTGCAAACCTTGCAGCCGTAGGGCTTCTCTCCGGTGTGGATCCTCTGGTGGGTGGCGAGCTGCGAACTGATGCTGAAGGACTTGCCGCACTCCCCGCACTCAAAGGGCTTCTCTCCGGTGTGAATTCTCAGGTGGCTCGCGAGGTGTATGTTTTGCCTGAAAGCTTTCCCGCACTCTTTGCACTTGAAGGGTTTCTCTCCAGAGTGCACTCTTTGGTGCTGGGTGAGGGACGCGTGATGGCCGAAGGCTTTCCTGCAAACGTCGCACTCGTACGGTTTCTCTCCAGTGTGGATCCTCTGGTGGACGGTGAGGGAGGAGCCGTACCTGAAGGATTTGGCACACACGTCGCACTTGTAGGGCTTCTCTCCAGTATGGATCCTCCTGTGCTGATTAAGTCCGATGTGGTCACTGAAGGCTTTCCCACAGCTGAGGCACGCGAAGGGCTTCTCCCCGGTGTGATAGTACCTCCAGTGACGCACGAGGGATGTGTTCTGTATGAAGGCCTTCCCGCAGTCGATGCATTCGTAGGGCTTCTTGCCGGTGTGGCATCTCTGGTGTCGGGCAAAGGATGAGCCGTCGCTGAAGGCCTTGCCACACTCGTGACATTTATAGGGTTTCTCTCCGGTGTGAATTCTCTGATGAACGGTGAGAGACGAGCTCTGGGTGAACGTCTTCTCACATTCATTACATTTGAAAAGTTTTTTTCCCGTGTAGATTCCTGCTTGTTTCATCACCACTGTGTTTTTGGGGAAACTCTTCTTAATGGAATCATGATTACGAGCTCGCTCCTCTGAAACGTCCAAAGGGAACCATCTTCCAGATGTGCTGTACATATGCTCTCTTTCTTTAGAGAGGGCTTTGCCATTAGTGATTGTCTCTTGCCTGAATTGTGTCTCCTGGCCTATCAGCTTCCTTTCAAACACACCCTCAGAATCCCAATTTTCTCTGAAAGTGGAACACTCCAGATTAGTGCGTATAGGTCTGTCTGTTACCACACCAGCAAATAAATCCTGCTTTGGCAATAATTCCTGGGTCTCATGTACCGATTGTTGGCCTGAAACATATAAAAAAAAAAACAACAACACACAAATACTTCCTTTATCACGGACTAGAAAAAAATATATTAAAAACTGTAAATGGATTCACTAAATGGTGAATTAAACCACCTAGACTATGCATTTATAAAAGTTATAGCATTTAAACATGCAGCCTACGATGTCTATGAGAGACCCCAGACTGACTCCATACAGGAACCTTAGGAGACAGGAGTACAAGAAAAGATATATGTGGATTGGTTACATATCAAAAGAGTGGGAGTGGAAAAAACGTTCTGCAGTCACACCACCTAAAAATACGCCCTACGACATTCACTGACTTCAGTTCGTTCACTCCCTGTCCGTCTGGCCTGGATGCCACAGTAATCACCACATCACAGAAGCTGCTCCAGGAAACACGCCAAGCGCCCAGAAAGAGACTGCACTCTGAGCACGCATTAGGAGTATCTGAAAGGCCGGTGATTGCCCTACGACCAGAACACGATGCTTCTGTAAACCATGTTTTCTTTGAGTAACTTCAACAAAAGCGACAGTACCAGCTGATGGCCAAAGCTCAGCCCACTGAATCATTTTTACGTTTGTGTACGCTGCCTCCCACTCACCTGCGCAGAGGCCTCCTGCCAGCCTGTCCTCGGCCACGCCGGGCGCCTCCCTCCGCTCCAAGGAGGAGATGACGTGGGGCTTGGAGTGGCAGAGCCCTGAGGGGCAGAAGGAGGAGGAGGTGGGTGTGTGGGGGGAGAGGGCGGGAGGGGGGGTGTGAGGCGGGTGTGTGCGGGGAGAGGGCAGAAGGGGGAGGAGGTGGGTGTGTGGGGGGAGAGGGCGGGAGGGGGTGTGTGAGGTGGGTGTGTGCGGGGAGAGGGCGGGAGGGGGGGTGTGAGGCGGGTGTGTGGGGGGAGAGGGCGGGAGGGGGGGTGTGAGGCGGGTGTGTGGGGGGAGAGGGCGGGAGGGGGTGTGTGAGGCGGGTGTGTGCGGGGAGAGGGCGGGAGGGGGTGTGTGAGGCGGGTGTGTGCGGGGAGAGGGCGGGAGGGGGTGTGTGAGGCGGGTGTGAGGGGGGAGAGGGCGGGAGGGGGTGTGTGAGGCGGGTGTGTGGGGGGAGAGGGCGGGAGGGGGTGTGTGAGGCGGGTGTGAGGGGGGAGAGGGCGGGAGGGGGTGTGTGAGGCGGGTGTGTGCGGGGAGAGGGCGGGAGGGGGTGCTATGGGGTGGGGTGGGGGGCAGGCGGGGGCGAGGGGCCGTACCCAGCGCCACCAGGTTCCGGTAGTTCTCCAGCATCACGTCCCGGTACAGGGCCTTCTGGGCGCAGCTCAGCCGGGCCCACTCCTCCCGGGAGAACGCCACGGCCACGTCCCCGAAGGTCACGGCCGCGTCCCCGAAGGTCACGGCCGCGTCCCTGAAGGTCACGGCCGAGTCCCCGAAGGTCACGGCCGCGTCCCCGAAGGTCACGGCCGCGTCCCCGAAGGTCACGGCCGCGTCTCCGAAGGTCACGGCCGCGTCTCCGAAGGTCACGGCCGCGTCCCCGAAGGTCACGGCCGCGTCCCCGAAGGTCACGGCCGTGTCCGCAAAGGTCACGGCGCCCTGGAAGGACAGACCAGGTTTCTGCTCGGCCCCTCGTGACGGGAGCTGCGATGGGCTGCACGGTGTCCCCCAGACGCGAAGGGGAAAGCGCTAACCCTCAGGCTTCCCAGTGTGACTGCACGTGGAGGCAGGGCCCTCGGAGAGGGAGGAAAAGTTCACCGGAGCCGAAACCGGTTCGGCTCAGTGGATAGAGCGTCGGTCTGCGGACTGAAAGGTCCCGGGTTCGATTCCCGTCAAGGGCATGGACCTTGGTTGCGGGCACATCCCCAGTGTGGGGTGTGCAAGAGGCAGCTGATGGATGATTCTCTCTCATCGATGTTTCTAACTCTCTATCCCTCTGTCTTCCTCTCTGTAAAAAAATCAATAAAATATATATTTTTTTAAAGAAAAATAAAGTGAAAAAGGGACCTCACCAACTGAAAAAATAAACAGTACGCGGTCCAGAAAAGCAAGGGTGCCCGTCAGCGAGGAGACGGGAGCCTGACCCACCTGGGGCGTGACGCGGGGGTCATTTCCTGTCCCTGCAGCCTCCGGCGTGGGCCTCTGTGGCCGGAGCGGGGCGGGGCCCCTGCCAGGCGGAGCTGGGGGCGGGAGGGGAGACAGGAGGGGTCAGGTCTACCAGGTCCCGAGTCACCAGCCCGCACACGCTGAGCCCCAGGGGAGTCTCCCCCGGCCTCGCTCAGAAAGGGCTTCGCTGGCTCAGGGGCTGAGCGCTGACCTATGAACCAGGAGGTCAGGGTTCAGTTCCCGGTCAGGGCACATATCCAGGTGGTGGGCCCAGACTCCAGTGGGGAGAATGCAAGAGGCAGCCGATCCATGATTCTCTCTCATCATGGATATTCTCTCTCTCCCCCTCTCCTTTCCTCTCTGACATCAACAGAAATGTCCTATATAATAAAAGCCTAATATGCAAATAGAGTGAACGGGGGAACTACCGGTCGCTATGACACACACTGACCACCACGGGGCAGACCTCAATGCAGGAGCTGCCCCCAGCTTCAGGCCCCAGGCCAGCCAGGGTCCCTGCAGAGGGAGGTGACTAGCAAGGGGCTTCAGGGAGCAGGGCCAGCCAGCAAGCTGGCAGTGCCAGGCTGGCCAAGGCGGGTGTCAGTGAAGTGGGGGATTGGGGGGGGGGGCGACTGTCCCACTGGTCACCTCACAGATTAACCCTGACCGCCAGCCAGGCTTAGGGACCCAACCCGAGCACAAAGTTGGTGCACTGGGACTCTACACTGAGTGGCCATGTTATGATGATCTCTGAACGCATAATAATCTGGCGCCACTCAGTGTGTGTGTGTGTGTGTGTGTGTGTGTGTGTGTGTGTATTTATACACACATACATACATATTTTAGAGGCCCAGTGCATGAATTCGTGCATGGGTGGGGTCCGGCCAGCCTGGCCAGGGGGAGGGGACATGGGCGGGTGGCCGGCCTGCCTGCTGGTCGAACTCCTGGTGGAGGGGACCATTTGCATATTAGTCTTTTATTCTATAGGATGTACACTGAGTGTCCAGATTATTATGGGTTCGGAGATCATTATCTGGCCACTCAGTGTAATATTTAATAATAATAATAATTTTAAAAAAAAGAGCCCTAACCGGTGTGGCTCAGTGGATAGAGCGTCGGTCTGCAGACTGAAGGGTCCCAGGTTCGATTCCGGTCAAGGGCATGCACCTTGGTTGCGGGCACCTCCCCAGTGGAGGGTGTGCAGGAGGCAGCTGATGGGTGTTTCTCTCTCATAGATGTTTCTGACTCTCTATCCTTCTCCCTTCCTCTCTGTAAAAATCAATCAAATATTAAAAAAAGAAAGAAAGGAAGGGCTTGGGCAGGTGGAGAACCCACAGCATGAGGCCGGCTGTGCAGGGGCCGCTGGTATGGGCCGTTACTCCGGGGGCGACCACGGGAGGGGCGGGGTGAACTCCCCGGGAGCACGGGAGCGGGGTGCCCGGCGAGGGGACCCCAGGGCCAGCCCGGCTGCCAATGCTCTGACCCCCGTCCAACGCCCAGACCGCTGGTCCCCGCCCCCGAGGGGGGAAGGCGCCCCTCACCTCCGTCCTCAGGCCCCGGGGGCGCCGCTCGCCGCCGGCCCGGGGAGGCGGGGCCGGCCCCGGAGCGCGGCCTTCCCGGGCCCCGGCGGACCGGAGGGGCCGGGGGCGCCGCCGCCGTGGGGCCCCGGCCCGGCCCGGGCTTTGTGCGGGGGACGCCGCCCCGAGCCGGACCCCGCGGCCCGCGGGCCCCCGCCGCCCTCGCTGCGCCCCGCATGGCCCCGCGGACTCCCGGCCACTCGGGGCACCACCGGTTCCGCCGCCCCGACCGCCGCCCCCGGCCCCGCCCCCGCCGGACCGGGGCGCCCAGCCCACCAGCAAGCACGGGCACGCCTGGGCCCACAGCGCGCCGTCGCCGGAAGTGGGCGTGTCCGTCGCCGCGACGCCCTCTGGGAAATGTAGTCCCGCCAAGGTTGCAAAGGCCACAGGCATAAGACGACAGACTGTGAATGGGAGGTCCAGCCCAGGTCTACGTTATCTCCTTCAGTGAACTTCGTGCACTGGCCCTCTAGTGTGTGCATATTTTTGCATCGGTGCTTTTCGAGAAGATAAACATGTAGATGTGGAATTGTGGCAGGGTGGTTAATTACAATTGGAAGGTTGACTCAAGGGTCCCAGGTTCGATTCCAGCCAAGGGCATGTACCTTGGTTGAGGGTATATACCCAGGAGGAGGTGTGCAGGACTTTATTTTAAGAAATCAATAAAAATAAAATTAAAAAAAGAACTTAGGCTACTTTATTTGGTTGGTTTAAGCCCTTCATGGGAGAGTGGCTTGTTGCTATGCTTCACCAGATTGAGCATTTTTAAAAATATAGTTTTTGTTGATTTTTTTACAGAGAGGAAGGTAGAGGGATAAAGAGTTAGAAACATCAATGAGAGAGAAACATTGACCAGCTGCCTCCTGCACACCCCCTACTGGATGTGCCCACAACCGAGGTACATGCCCTTGACCGGAATCGAACCTGCGACCCTTCAGTCCTCAGGCCGACGCTCTAGCCACTGAGCCACACCCGTCAGTGGTGGATGCATTTTTTTTACATGGACATGTTTTATGCCCGTCCTGTGAATAAATGCCCACCAAAGACCAGAGGAGCTTGTCCCATTCTGACATGTCCACATGTAGGAGTGATCCCTGTCCCCTCTGGGGATGTAATGAAAAATACTAGGAAATCCCAGAATCACAGAGAAAAAGGAAGAAGGGAGGGAGGGAGGGAGGAAGGGAGGAAGGAGAGGAAGGAAGGGGAAAAAGGAAAGAAGAAAGGAAGGAAGGAAGGAAGGAAGGAAGGAAGGAAGGAAGGAAGGAAGGAAGGAAGGAAGGAAAGAAGGAAGGAAGGGTGGGAGGGAAAGAGGGAGAGAGGGAGAAAGGAAAAAAGAGAAAATAACACATTAGCTAAAACAATCCATGCCAGTGCTCAGAGGCGGTTTCCTGGCGCAGCAGCGCCTTCGTGTGGCTGGAAGCACTAACTACAACAGCTCAATGTTTTACACACACACACACACACACACACACACACACACACACAGTTATTCTCTTTTCCCCTGACATCCCCGCTCAAGAACAAGTCAACTTAGACAGAAAGATTAGAAATCATTCTCTCCTGTCCCCTCCCTCTGCTCCCACAAGTTGGGAAGGGAGAGGGAACCTTCGAAGAAAACAGCTCAGGTTTTATTGCCTCAATGCGGACTGCGCTGGAGAAAGAAGGCGAGGTACTCCAGCTGAGGTGTATGAGCTGCCGTCTCAGGCTGTCTGGCAACATGGGCTTCCTCTGCTACTCCCAGAAAAATGGGCTCCTGACAGCAGCCTGCCACCACAGCCCCAGGAGAGAGTCAGCACCAGCAAATGCTGTATTTACAGCATGCCCAAGACCTCCCCACCTCTCCCCAGCCGCTGGCAGGGAGAGGAGACATGGTGATAGCAGCGGCACTCTAGGCATGGTGAGCGCCTGGGACCAAGCCATGTGGTGTGTGTGTTTTTTTCATTTTGCCTTTCTGGAAGACTCAAGATGTGTCTCTTCATTCTCTCTCTCTCAGTATTTGTTTACTTTGGTATCTGTTAGTTCCTTTAAATCTCAGAGAGAGGGGTGTGTTTAGTGGACACAAGCTGTGATATTCAGCAAACTTTGTCAGTTGGCAGTGTTTACAATCTGTTAGCTGCATAAGCTCAATAAAACATTGGTCTGGGCATAAAAAAAAGAAAAAAAAAGAAAGAAAGATTAGAAATCAAGGGGCCCAGCCCTAACCTGTTTGGCTCAGCGGATAGAGCGTCAGCCTGCGGACTGAAGGGTCCCAGGTTCAGTTCCAGTCAAGGGCATGTACCTTGGTTGCGGGCACATCCCCGGTAGGGGGTGTGCAAGAGGCAGCTGATCGGTGATTCTCTCTCTCATTGATGTTTCTAACTCTCTATCCTTCTCTCTTCCTCTCTGTAAAAAATCAATAAAAACATATATATTTTTTTTAAAAAGTGAAGCAATGAGACCTAGCCAGGTGGCTCCACTGTAACATCGTCCTGTACACCAAAAGATTTTGGAGTCGATTGCTGGTTGAGGCACACACGTGAGTTTTGGGGTCAAGGCCCAGTTGGGCAACCAATCGATGTTTCTCCCTCCCTCACTCCTTCCCTCCCTCCCTGAAAATCAATAAAATCATATCCTTGTGGGAGGAAGTGAGGCGCCTTTTGTGACGCCCTTACCAAGGAATTGCTTGGAGTTGGGGTGTAGTTTGAAACAGGCAACCGAGTCCCTGTGGGTGAAACTCGGGATCAGAGATGAACGTGTATTTGGTATGTAACATGGTGGGAGAGCCTCAGCGATGGAAGGAATGGGTTCCCTACAAGAGGTACAGAGGTAATGAGTTGGTGGTAAGAGGAATAAGGAACCAGTCCCAAGGTGACATGTTAGTTCACACTTTCCTTAGACAGGGAAACATCTGGATTCCACATTGTGCATGTGTGCGTGTGGTCTTTAAGGGATGAGTAACAGTAATTATTATTTAACTAGAGGCCTTCCCTTTCGGCCTTCCCATGCTGCCCAGAGGCCCCAGGCGGCTGAGGTGCTGCAGAACGCCTGTTGTCACCATGGCAATGATACAAGCGTCCTGCCCCATCCCCAGCCGCTCAGTGCCTGTGTGTGCAAATTAACCCATATTTGTTGGGCTGATTTGCATACTCACTCCTGATTGGCTGGCAGGCATAGCGGAGGGACAGTCAACTTGCATGTTTCTCTTTTATTAGTGTCGATTTTAGAGACAGGGGGTAACATCAGCTTTTTGCCCCACTCATTTATGCATTCGTTGGCTGAAGCTTGTAAGTGCCCTGACCGGGGATTGGACCGCCAACCTTGGCTTATGGGACAACAGCTCCAATCAACGGAGCTACCCCAGCCAGGCAGCAAACCCATTTTCAGGGCAGACAGCAAACGCAGGCTTTGGGGCCAGTCTTTCTCCAACCACTCAGCTCTGCCTGCTGTACACAGTATTTTTTTTCTCTAATATATTTTATTGATATTTTACAGAGGAAGAGAGAGGGATAGAGTTAGAAACATCAATGAGAGAGAATCATCCATCAGCTGCCTCTTGTACCACCCCCACCGGGATGTGCCCGCAACCAAGGTACATGCCCTTGACCGGAATCGAACCCGGGACCTTTCAGTTCGCAGGCCGACGCTCTATCCACTAAGCCAAACCGGTCTCGGCTGTAGACAGTATTTATGGAGCATGGCTGTGTTCCAATAAAACTTTATTTATAAGACAGGTGGCAGGCCAGGTTTGGTTTGCTGACCACTACGAGTATACCTGGCAGAACAGGATGTTACACAACGATAAACAGTGTGGTTCATAAATAGAGCCTGAGTAACATTCAAACATAAATTTTAAAAAGTAAAAATTTCTGGAAATTTATGATCTTGATTAAAAAAAAGGTTAAATTTTAGGAAATTCTGAAACAATATATAAAATAATAGACCATGGAAAGTTTATTACTATAATTTACAGGCTTAAATAGAATCCTGTGTCACAGACACACACACACGCACACAGCCCTAGCCCCGTGATCAGCAAACTTCGGCTTGCGAGCCACATGCGGCTCTTTAGCCCCTTGAGTGTGGCTCTTCCACAAAACACCACAGCCTGGGAGAGTCTATGTTGAAGAAGTGGCGTCAGAAGGAGTTTAAGTTTAAAGAATGTGGCTCTCCAAAGAAATTTCAATCGTCGTACTGTTGATATTTGGCTCTGTTGGCTCATGAGTTTCCATACCACTGCCCTAGCCGGTTTGGCTCAGTGGACGGAGTGCAGAGCATCAGCCTGTGGACTGAAGGGTCTTGGGTTCCATTGCTCAAGGGCACATACCTTGGTCGGGGTGCAAGCGGGAGGGAGGCGACCAATCAGGAATCTCTCTCACATCAATTTTTGTGTCTTTCCCTCTGCTTTCCACTCTCTCTAGAAAGAAAATCAATGGGAAAATATCCCTGGGTAAGGATTAACAATAAATGTGTGTGTGTGTGTGTGTTATGAAATATACAGAAATCACCTTATACTTAGCCATAATGAAAAAAATGCCAACATTAAAATGTAGGTGTTGCCAAAACAGGTTTGGCTCAGTGGATAGAGCGTCGGTCTGCGGACTGAAAGGTCCTGGTTCGATTCCGGTCAAGGGCACGTAACTTGGTTGGGGGCACATCCCCAGTAGTGGGTGTGTAAGAGGCAGCTGATGGATGTTTCTCTCCCCTCGATGTTTCTAACTATCCCTCTCCCTTCCTCTCTGTAAAAAAACAAAACAAAAAAACCCCAAACAATCAAATGAGGTGGGAAATAAGACACCCTGGCCTAAAATTAGTTAACTCTTGGGTCAGGAAATCTTGTCTCATCAGGACAATGCTTCATCCAGTGGAGCGACCTGGCCGACCTCTCACTGTCATTTATTATAACTGCAAGATTTATTTCCTTGTTAACCCAAGAGTAATTTGGCTGTTTCCTTTTTTTTTCCTTCTCAATTCCCCTCAAAACTTAAACCTTTGGCTAATGTTAAATTACACGGGTAGTGAGAAAAGGTGAATCAAGAATGTTTTAGGGACAAATTGTTTTCCAAAATATCCTTGCCTCATTGGTAATCATGACCAACTTATACCCGTGGTCGGCAAACTGCAGCTCGCGAGCCACATGCGGCCCTTTGCCCCTTGAGTGTGGCTCTTCCACAAAACACCACGGCCTGGGCAAGTCTACTTGGAAGAAGTGGCGTTAGAAGAAGTTTAAGTTTAAAAAATGTGGCTCTCCAAAGAAATTTCTATCGTTGTAGAGTTGATATTTGGCTCTGCAGACAGATGAGTTTGCCGACCAGTTGCCTAAGCCAACGGGGTCTCCTCATTGGTCCCATTCGCTGATGGCATGACTGGCCTAAGCCAATGGGCTCTCCCGACTGCTTCCCTTCCTGGGGCTGCTCGCTAACACGAGTTCTCTGATGATCAACAAGGGGTATGTGCTGACGGACGGCTTCCCTGCATCGATCGCATTCGCCTGTGCTTCTCTGTGCTGCCTCCTCGGACGCGGAAGCGTGGCCGGGCCATGGCTCCAAGTCCTCCCGCCTTCCGTGCAGCCCCAGGGCTCCTCCTCGGTGTGCGTGACCGGGTGCTGAGCCGGCTGGGGGCCGCGGCTCAAGGCCTCGCCCGCGCGGGGCTGCTCGCCCGCGTGGACGCGGAGGTGCACGGTGAGGTGGGCGACCCGGGTGAAGGCCCGCCCGCAGGCCTCGCAGGCGTAGGGCTTCTCCCCGGTGTGGGTCCGCTGGTGCTGCTTCAGCTGCGAGCTCACGCGGAACGCCCGCCCGCAGGCCTGGCAGGCGTAGGGCTTCTCGCCGGTGTGGATCCTCCGGTGCCGGCTGAGGGTGGAGCCCTGGTTGAAGGCCTTCCCGCAGTCCCGGCACTCGTAGAGCTTCTGGCCGGTGTGCAGGGCCCGGTGCTGGACCAGCTGGGACCGGTGGCTGAAGGCGCCCCCGCAGGCCTCGCAGGCGTAGGGCTTCTCCCCGCTGTGGGTCCTGCCGTGGACCCGGAGGTGCGAGAGGCGGTTGAAGGCCTTCCCGCACTGCGCGCACTGGTAGGGCTTCTCGCCGGTGTGGGTGCGCTGGTGCTCCAGGAGCTGCGAGCTGCGGCCGAAGGCCTTGGCGCACAGCTGGCAGGCGTAGGGCCGCTCGCCGGTGTGGACCCGCTGGTGCTGCACGAAGTTGGAGCCCGAGCTGAAGGCCTTGCCGCACTCCGGGCAGGCGTAGGGCTTCCGGCCGGAGTGGATGCTCTCGTGCTGGACCAGGCGGGAGCCGTACCTGAAGGCCTTGCCGCACTCCCGGCACTTGTAGGGCTTCTCGCTGGCGCGGGCGCCCCGGGGGTGGAGGACGCCGCCCTCTGGCCAGAAGGCTCCTCTGCATCCATCGCGCTCACAGGGCCCCCGCCCGGGAGGGACTCTCTCACAGAGAGGGAGGGGTGCCTGCGGGCCTGGAGGGGGCGCGTCTGCGGGGCGGAGGACGCCCGGACCCCGATGTTCGTCCGGGCTTTCCCGCTGTCCGTCGCAGGGGCCTCTGCGCTCCCCGTCATCCTGGAGGTGCGAGCGCTGGGGACCGCAGCTCGCGAGGCTGTCCGTTCCCTCCGCCCGGGCGGACTGCCCCTCGCAGGCGGGCCGCTCCGGAGGGGACGCCCTCCCTCCAGACCCGGCCTCCCGGGCTGAAAGAGAACCAGAGAGCAAGCATGCGTTTCGTGTGTGTGTGTGTGTGTGTGTGTGTGTGTGTTTTTCCTTTTTCTTTTCTTTTGCAGAAAAAGGAACTTGCATAGTAAAAACTGAAGATGCTGAAACCGGTTTGGCTCAGTGGATGGAGCGTCGGCCTGCGGACTGAAGGGTCCCAGGTTTGAATCCCGTCAAGGGCATGCGCCTTGGTTGCGGGTGTGTGTGTGTGCAGGAGGCAGCTGATCGATGTCTCTCCTCTATGTTTCTAGCTCTCTATCCCTCTCCCTTCCTCTCTGTAAAAAATCAATACAATATATTTTAAAAAAGGAAAAGACAAGACAGTCTTTTCCATAAACGGTGCTGAGGAACTTGGGTATCAACATACAGAAAGAAGTAAGACCCTTACCTCACACCAAATGCCAACACGAACTCACACAAACGGAAGACCCACACAGGACCCAAAACTATAAACTCCCAGAAGCAAACAAGGGGAACGTTTTAGGACATTGCACTTGGTGGTAATTCCTCGGAGACGGCACCAGAAGCTCAGGCGATAAAAGCAAAAATAGGCCGGTGGGACCACAGCCAACTTAGTGACTGGGCGCCGGAGGAAACTGCAGAGAGGCCTGGGAAGGCACGTGGCATTTTTAAAAAAAAATTTTTTTTTCACATGTCAGTAGTGGAACGATCCACCCTTTTTACTTGCAAAGGGTGAACAGAAAGCTACTGTATTTCTCTAGGACACTTACAGTTTTCCTCACCGTAAGAAGAAAGTGAATAAAAGTAAATGTCCATGGCATTTCTTTAGTTACTGTCAGCTGAATCCAGCGGCGTCGGCAGAGCCACGTCTGGAAACCGGCTTTGCCAGAGGCGGGAGTGCTGTCAGCCTGACCTTCAGCCCCCGCACGGGTGTGTGTGTGTGTGTGAGATTTACTTTGTAAGTCCAGCCAGGCACCAGGAATGGATCTGACGGGGGCCTACCCAGAAGGGACGCTTTACAAAGAAGCTCCAGAACGCACATATCCCCCTTTCCTTGTCCTTTGGAGAAACTTCCCGGTGTTTGGGGTATAAACAGGCGGCATCTGCTCTGGATCACGGTTCCTGTCCCTCCAGCGGGGGGGCGTGCAGGAGGCAGCTGATCGATGTTTCTCTCTCATCGATGTTTCTGGCTCTCTCTCCCTCTCTCTCCCTCTCCGTAAGAATCAGTAAAATACATTTAATTAAGAAAAACACGTCAGTGGGCATGTGGCACCAGCAGCGCCATACGGAGGGCCCAGCACGGTGGTACTGGCCTGGCAGCGGAGAAGGTCCGGGGAAGGGAGGTGGACGGGAAGCAAGAGGCCAGTCTGAGCAGACAGACCCCCAGGGCCGGTGAGAGGGCCCCGGGGGGCTGGGGGGCAGAGGGGCCAGAGGCAGGAGAGGCTCCCGGAAGAGCCGCAGGAGGAGACGCCTCGCTGGCCTCTGAGCTCGGGGCTCAGCGGAACCGCTTCCCCCTAAGGGCGGCCCCTCCCACCTGCTGGACGGCCACCGCTGGCTTCCCGCCCCCACGCGCCCCACTCACCGGGGCTCCGGCCCCCCGCCGGCCCCGCCGCCCGCCAGGGCTCCTCGCCCGCCTCCAGGAGGGAGATCACGTCGGGCTTGGAGACCGCGAGACCTGGTGAGAGAGAACACGAGGCCCGTGAGGTGCGGCCGGAGCCCCGTCCCGGCCCCGGTGAGGTGCGGCCGGAGCCCCGTCCCGGCCCCGGTGAGGTGCGGCCGGAGCCCCGTCCCGGCCCCGGTGAGGTGCGGCCGGAGCCCCCGTCCCGGCCCCGGTGAGGTGCGGCCGGAGCCCCGGCCCCGGTGAGGTGCGGCCGGAGCCCCGTCCCGGCCCCGGTGAGGTGCGGCCGGAGCCCCCGTCCCGGCCCCGGTGAGGTGCGGCCGGAGCCCCCGTCCCGGCCCCGGTGAGGTGCGGCCGGAGCCCCGTCCCGGCCCCGGTGAGGTGCGGCCGGGGACCAGGATGAGAGGCCGCAGCGGGAAGGGACGGCCTGACTGGCACGGGGGTCTGGGGTCGAGGCGGCTCCCCCCGCGGAGCTGCCCTTTCACCCCGCGCACCGAAGGGGCAAGAGCACTTCCGCCCTGAGGAGACGGACAGGAAGCGGGCCTCACCCAGCGCACGCATGTGGCCGTACGTCTCCAGCGTCACGTCCCGGTACAGGGCTCTCTGCGCAGGCGCCAGCCACGCCCACTCCTCCCGCGAGAAGACCACGGCCACGTCCCGGAACAGGCCCACGTCCCGGAACAGGCCCACGTCCCGGAACTGGTCCACGTCCCGGAACAGGTCCGGCCCCTGCAATGAGGGCAGGGGGGTCACACGCCGGCCCCACGGGGAAGGGGGTGGGGGGAGTCTCTGCAGAAAAGGGCTGGGGCTGGAGGCCTCTGAAGCGAGCCGATGACAGGAGAACACGGGTGTGAGTTCAGTGTTCTTTTTTAAAAAACCATTTTCTGTTTCGTGCGTCTTGTTAAAAATACATCTGTGTTGATTTCAGAGAGGAAGGGAGGGGGAGAGACAAGAAACATCAGTGATGAGAGAGAATCACTGATCAGCCGCCTCCTGCACGCTCCCTGTTGGCATGTGCCCTTGACCCGAATCAAACCGGGGACCCTGCAGACCCCAGGCTGGCGCTCTGTCCACTGAGCAACACCAGCCAGGGCTTACACGTTCTCGGGAAGCTCCTTTTTACTGCACGCCACAGCTCTGGTACACGGGTCGGGGGTGAACATGAAAGCCCGGCTTCGCGGAGAGTTCCCGACGGTGACTCACTCTGACCTCGGCACACCCTAAACTCTCCGGGAGCGACCTGGAACTCCATCAGGGCGAACGAAAACTAAGCCCCAACCAAGAACTTCCGCGGGCAGCGGGAGGCGGCAGAGGGCTGTGGCTGCCCGCTCCTCTCACTCCTGAAAGCGGGAAGCCCTGAACGCCTGGCTCTCTGGGAGGGAGAGCAGGCGGGAAGGGGGCTCTGGGGTGAGGAGGGCGAGTCTCTGCAGGATCTAGAAACTCACCATGGACACGACGCTCAGAGCCTCATGGGCTGAGGGTCCTCCTCCCAGCGAAGGCCGCGTCCTGGGGTGGCAGAGCTGGGGAGGAAACAGCGAACAGGAGGGACCCGGCTCGCCTGGTGGCTCCCAGGGAGCCACGGTTACAAGTCCCACCCCGTTCAGCCCCACCTCCCGACCAACGAGAGGGGGACGGACACACAGGGCCCTCACCCACCTCCAGTGGCTAAAAGGACTCAGGGGCCCAGTGGTCTCACTCTCCCATTTCCCCGAAACACCCCGAGAGCGTCGCTGGTGCAAATCACTGTCCAGTGACTGAGGCCATAGACAAGGAGGCCCAGCCTAAGGCCAGAGGGCGGCTTCCAGCACGCTCGCCCCCGCCCCCACACCCCCCTGGGGATCGAGCACACAGCCTGGGCATGTGTCCTTGAGCAGAATCGGACCCAGGACCCTTCAGTCTGCAGGCCAATGCCCTATCCACTGAGCCACTGAGTACAACCAGTGAGGGCTACTCTTGCTTTAATCAGACTATAAATAAGGCACCGGCTTGCAGGCTGGGTCTTCTGTGTCCTCATCCAGGCCCGGGAGATCCACCCAGCCTCAGGCGTATTCTCTTTGTCTGTCTTTTCTTCAATCCTTCACTGCCCCTCCCTCAGGCTCAACAATGAATGACATTCATATCAGCAAAAGAAGTCGCAACCACCCCCCTACAACACAGGGGGGGTTGGGGGGGCGGGGAGGGGGCAAATCCTAAAAAGAAATTGGAATAGGAAACACCCAAGTGTTAAGAATGCTGTCACTTAACCGCTTCTTGAGCTGTTTATAAAGTAGTTTGGGAATGTGCCGGATATGTGACTAACATTTTGCTTATTTTTTTCTTCTTCTTCTTCACAAATATTTCGTTGTAAGTAATACATAAATAATTATGAATGTTCCTTGGCGTCGTGTAACAGGAATTCTTCCTTCCTCCAAGCCACTGTTTTAGCATTATCTGCCATATCTTATTATGTGAGTGGCCCAAATTTCCTCAACCCTTTCCCCACTGCTGCTCACGGATTTTAAACAAAATCATCTAAAATGTTCCCAAGGGGTAAGTCTCTGCTTCTTAATCTTTTGGGATCTTGCAACTCTTTTGTGCCAGATTTCGCCCTCGATTTACAACAACAAAAAAAGGCATGTGTGCCCTAACCGGTGTGGCTCAATGGATAGAGCATCAGCCTGCGGACTGAAGGGTCCTGGGTTCGATTCCTGTCAAGGGCATGTACCTTGGTTGCAGGCACATCTCCAGTAGCAGGTGTGCAGGAGGCAGCTGATCTGTTTCTCTCTCATTGACGTTTCTCTCTATCCCTCTCCCTTCCTCTCTGTAAAAAAAATAAATAAATAAATAAAAATATATATACACATACATATTACATATTACATATACATATTATATATACATATACATAATATACATATACATAATATATACATATACATTATATATACATTATACATATACATATATATATATATGACCATGCGTAAGTATCAATGCAAAACACCTGCAAGCAATTCCAGGGGGTCAGAACCCCTCCATCCCAAGTTATGAGCTGTGACGCACAAAGACGACGCCAGCCGGGCGTGCGTCGCGGGGGCTGATGGGAAATGTAGTTCAGAACCCGGGAAGCCGCAAACGGATGCTAAGGCGAGACTCGCCGGTTACTCCCCCTCCAGGCCCAAGACCCGCCGGGCCGCGGCGCCCGCTCTCGCACCGACCCCGGAGCGCCCGGAAAACCCCGGACCCCCTCACCTGCCGCCTTCTCGGGTCCGAGTGCCGCCGACACTGCGCCCCCCCGAGGCTGTCCCAGGTGAGCGTTCCCGGCGCTACCGGCGAACTCGTCGCCTGGAGCCGGAAGATGGCGCAGACGCACAACGCCGCGCCGATGCGGCGTAGCGATTGGGCCGGCGCCGCAGTGTCTTCTGGGAAACGTAGTTTCTAGACTGTAAGGAAGGCAGCGCGCCGTGAGGCCGGGTCTCGCGATGTTTCGCAGAGGGCGGTACCTGGGCGTGTGTGTGTCTAGAGCACATGTGTCAAACACAAGGCCCGCTGGCCAAATCCGTCCCGCCAGGCCTTGCAATGTGGCCCGCACCGCGCTGTCATCACTGCACTCCGCTGCGTTTCCATCACAATGACAGTTTATGACTGTTCAGTAAACCATTCGGCCCGCGATTTAGGCTGGATTTTAGATTTTGGCCCCTTCTCTGATTGAGTTCGACACCCCTAGTCTAGAGTGCGGTCCGGTGTGCAGGGCGTGTGCAGTGTGTGCGCTCGCCTCTCCGGTTGTGGGTGCGAGTGTGTGCGGGGGCGTGCGCGAGGCAGCCGCTCCAGGCTCCTCTCATCATGAATGTGTCTGTATCCTGCCTCTCCCTTCCTCTCTGAGATCAATAAAAACGTGTTTGTTTTGTTTTTAAAAATTGAAGGATGTGTAAGAAACGGGTCTCGCAGGCGCTGGGCAGCGCCGGGCCCTGGGAGGAGGGAATGGAGAACGGCAGGGGCGTCCCCCGGGAAGGCCGTTCCGCCCTCCGGCCGTGGACACCGGCGGCAGTGCCCGGGGTGCGGCGCAGAGCGCGGGGCCAGCCTGTGCCCGCGGCCGGCCGGGGGGCGCTGCCTCCGCGCTGGGCGGTGGGGGAGCCTTCAGAGCGAAGGACGGGATGCTACGGAGGCCGCGAGCCCCAGGGAACAGCCCGCGAGGCTGACCCCCGGGCAGCACCTGGAGGACCCCCTGGGCCATTCCTGCGAAGTGGGGCCCACCGGGCAAGCGGCGCCTGCGCAGTCCGGCCAGCCGCCTGGGCAGGGGCGGGGCGGGAGGCGGGGCGACGGGAGCCAGAGGGGCGGGGCTAGAAGAGGAGGTGGAGCCACCGGCGCGCCCCCAGCCTGCGGTCCCAGGATGCACTGCGCCGCGTCCGTTTCTCCCTGGACTACACTTCCCAGCGGCCACTGCGGCCGGCGGCTCCCCCGAGCGCCTTGGCCCCTTTGTGAGTCCGCGGTCCCGCCCCGGCCCCGCCGGCCCCGCCCCGGAGCGGAGATGCGGGGCCCCCGGACCCGGCCCGCCGCGCGGAGGGAGGTACCCGCTGGGCGGGGGGAGGCGGGGAGCGGTCCGCGGGCCGGGAGCAAAGTGGGGGCCGGGGTCACCGAGAGGCTGTGATGAGAACGAGTGTGTCAGTGTCAGACTGTGTGTGTGTGCATGTGTGTGTATGTATGTATGTGTGTGTGTGTGTGTGTATATGTGTGTGTCCCTGTGAACCCTGTGGGTGTGTGTATATGTGTGTATATGTATGTCTCTGTGTGACCGTGTGGCTGTGTCTGTGTGTCTGTGTGTCTCTCTCTCTGTGTATGTATGTGTGTGTGTGTCCTTGTGTGAACAGTTGGACCCTGTGTGTGTCTGTGTGTGTCTGTGTGTGTATATGTGTGTATATGCGCATGTGTGTCTCTGTATATGCATGTATATGCGTGTATGTGTGTGGCTGTGGCTGTGTTCGTATATGTGTGATTATGCGTGTATGTGTGTGGCTGTGTGCGTGTCTGCGTGCGTATATGTGTGTATATGTGTGTGTATGTCTGCGTGCATATATGTGTGTATGTGTGTGTGGCTGCGTGCATATATGTGTGTGTGTGTGTGTGTGTGTGTGGCTGTGTGTGTGTATATGTGTGTGTATGTGTGTGTGTGTGTGTGTGTGTGTGTGGCGCCGAGGGTGGCCGGTGTGACAGGGGCAGACAGTGGGCCGGGGCCCCTGTGCCCGGGGTCTGGGGTGCGGGGGGGAGGGGGCGATGGGCCTGAGGGGAGGACACAGGGCCCAGCCCTCCCCCCGGTGCAGGTCCTCCCCCGCGGGGAGACCCACTGTGCGCTGAGGGGTGAAGGGCAGCCTGAGCGGGTGCTGGGGCAGAGGGCGGGCAGAGGGTCCCGGGGAGCAGGGCTCCGCGGGGCCCCAGCTGTGTGTCGGTGTCGGAGGCCTTGTGACCCCAAACCTGGGTGCTTCCCGCTGAGGGAGCTGGGTTCCTGGGAAAAACTCCTCTAAAAATGTGATTCTGGAGAGAGAGGGGGGGGGGGGGAGAGAGGGAGGGAGAGACCTGTACCCCTTACTGATGCCTTCATCGGTTACATTAAAAACATTTTTATCGATTAAAGTAGGGGTGTCGAACTCAATCAGAGAAGGGGCCAAAATCTAAAATCCAGCCTAAATCGCGGGCCGAATGGTTTACTGAACAGTCACAAACTGTCATTGTGATGGAAACGCAGCGGAGTGCAGTGATGACAGCGCGGTGCGGGCCACATTGCAAGGCCTGGCGGGACGGATTTGGCCCGCGGGCCTTGTGTTTGACACATGTGGATTAAAGAGACGAAGGGAGAGGAGAGAGAAACATCCATGATGAGAATCACTGGTCAGCTGCCTCCTGCACGGCCCTCCTGGGGATCCAGCCCACACTCAGGCCTGTGCCCAGGGCCAGAATCACACTGGGACCCTTCAGTCCGCAGGCCCACGGCCTGACCACTGAGCCACACCGTTAGGACCGGGAATGACCCCTGATGAAGGGGTTCAGTGACCCCCGTGTGGTCCCTCACGGGGAAACTGCTCGGGAAAGTGGAGAGAGGGGTTTCGGGGGGCAGCTGGCCCTGAGCCTGGCCCTCCGTCCTCCAGGCCACATGCCCCCCTGATGCCCACTACACAGCTCCCCTCATCCTTGTAGGAAGGGTGGGGCCGTGTTTGCCTTCAGGGTCACCGCCTGGCGGGAAGGTCACAAGTCAGACCTGGAGCCCGGCCCGGTGGCTCAGTGGTTGAGCGTCGACCTGTGAACCAGGAGGTCACGGTTCCGTTCCCGGTCAGGGCACAGGCCCGGGGTGCAGGCTCCATCCCCAGTGTGGGGCGTGCAGGGCGCAGCCGGTCAGGGATTCTCCTTCATCATGGAGGTTTCTCTCTCTCTCTTTCCCTCTCCCTTCCGCTCTGAAGCAATAAAAATATATTAAATATTAAAAAAAAAAAAAAGTCGGGCCTGGATTCCAGTGGACTCAATCGCTCGTTGCCATGGAGCCTTGAGTAATTCCCCCGAGGAGCCAGCCCTCCCGTGCGAGAGCCGTTCCGAGGGGCAGGCACTGGCCCCGCTTAGCACCACAGACGCGGAGCTGGCCGGTGTGGCTCAGTGGATAGAGCGTCGGTCTGCGACTGAGAGCTCCCAGGTTCGATTCCGGTCAAGGGCATGTACCTTGGTTGCGGGCACATCCCCGGTGGGGGGTGTGCAGGAGGCAGCTGGTCGATGTTTCTCTCTCATCGACGTTTTTAGCTCTCTCTCCCTCTCTATAAAAAATCAATAAAAAATTATTTATTTTTTAACATATTTTATTGATATATTTTTATTGATATAAAAATCAATAAAATATATATTTTATTGATTTTTTTTACAGAGAGGAAGGAAGAAGGATAGAGAGTTAGAAACATCGATGAGAGAGAAGCATCCATCAGCTGCCTCCTGCACACCCTCACTGGGGATGTGCCCGCAACCAAGGGACATGCCCTTGACCGGAATCGAACCTGGGACCCTTCAGTCCGCAGGCCGACACTCTATCCACTGAGCCACACCGGTTTCGGCAATAAAATACATTTATAAAAAAAAAAATAAAATAAAGCGCGGGGGGAAGAGTTGTGCCCGTCAGGTGACTGACTCCGGGTACCCCTAATGGGCGCCGTGGCGGGGTGAGGGGGCGGCTGTCCAGGCTGGTGATGCAGGGTGCCCTCCGCCCTCCCCAGCTCTCCGTTCCCCGGACCCTGTCCCCCCGCGGGAGCGGAGCCTGAGGGAGGCCGGAGCGCTGCCCGCCGTCCGACCGTCCGTCCGTCCGTGGGCCGAGAGCCATGTCCCAGGTAAGGAGCGTCCGTCCTCCCTCCCTCCCTCCCCAGGCTGCAGGGGAGCACTCTGGGTCTGTTCTGGAACTCACAGCCTCCAGAGGCCCCACCACCCTCATCTTCTCCAGTCCGGCGTCAGGGCGTCCCCCACAGCCCAGCGAGCTTCCTCCTCGTCTCGGCATTTAAATAAAACATGCATACCTTTATTTCAGAGGGGAAATGAAGGGAGAGAGAGGAACATCCGTGATGAGAGAGGATCATCGATCGGCTGCCTCCTGCACACCCTCTCCTGGGGATGGAGCCCGAAACCCAGGCAGGTGCCCTTGGCCGGAATCGAACCTGGGACCCTTCAGTCCACAGGCTGATGCTCTACCCACTGGGCCACACCGGCCAGGGCAGCATCTTCATCTTTATTCAAGAAATAGCTTGGTGCCGCCGACGGCTCGGGAGCTCTCCAGAGGCCATGTGTCTGTGACTATAGTTTACCATATAATGCAATGATGTGAAATCGGGGGAGGAAGATGATTTTCATTTAGGGAAAAAAAAAAAAAAAAAAATTCTCCCTGCCCTGGCTGGTGTGGCTCAGTGGATAGAGCATCAGCCTGCGGACCGAAGGGTCCCAGGTTCCATTCAGGTCAAGGGCACATGCCCGGGCTGTGGGCTCGAGGCAGCCGATGCATGATCCTCATCACTGATGTTTCTCCCTCTCTCCCCCTCGCCCTTCCCCCCTGAAATCAATTAAAAAAAAAATACATGCACTGACCACCAGGGGGCAGACACTCAGCGCACAGGCATGGCAACATGGAACAGACTGATGAGTCTCAGAGGGAAAGCGGGTGGGGGACGAAGGACCAAGGATCTTCGATGCACACCAGAGGCCCGGGGCACGGATTCGGGCACCAGCGGGGTCCGAGGACCAGCAGTGGAAGCGACTGAGCCCTTCCCCCTGCACGCCAGCTGGGCAGAGGTGTGCTGATGCCGTTCCAGGACTCGGTGACCTTTGGGGACGTGGCCGTGGATTTCTCTCCGGAGGAGTGGGCACGGCTGACCCTGGCTCAGAGGAGTCTGTACAGGACGGTGATGCTGGAGAACTACAGGAACCTGGTGTCGCTGGGTGAGGTCGCCCCGCGGTCCAGACCCTGCCCGCCGGGCCCGCTCCCTCACGTGCGGTTTGGGAAGCCCCTGGTCCACCTACCGGGTTTCTCGTCCCCGTGCTCCCCGAAACAGGCCGAGTTCTGTGGGGCTGGCAGCTTCCTCAGACCCTCCCTACGACTTCCTCTTCCTTCGATCCCTTCCTCTTCCTTCGATCCCTTCCTCTTCCTTACCTCTGTCTCTGATGCCCCTGCGTCCCCCTCTCTCTCTCCCTCTCCCTCTCTCTCTCTCTCTCTCCTTTTTAAATATATTTTATTGATTTTTTTACAGAGAGGAAGGGAGAGGGATAGAGAGTTAGAAAAGCCGACGAGAGAGAAACACCGACCAGCTGCCTCTTGCACACCCCTCACCGGGGATGTGCCTGCAACCAATGTACATGCCCTTGACCGGAATCGAACCTGGGACCCTTCAGTCCACAGACCGACGCTCTACCACTGAGCCACACCGGTTTCGGCTTTTATTGATTTTTTTTACAGAGAGGAGGAGAGAGGGATAGAGAGTTAGAAACGTCGATGAGAGAGAATCATCAACCAGCTGCCTCTTGCACACCCCCTACTGGGGATGTGCCGGCCACCAATGTACATGCCCTTGACCGGAATCGAACCCGGGACCTTTTAGTCCGCAGACCGACGCTCTATCCACTGAGCCACACCGGCTTCGGCCCCTCTCTTGAGGACCGAGGTGCCTGATCTGACCTCAGGGCCCGGCTCACGCCCCCTCTGCTCCTCCCACAGGAGTTTCCATCTCCGAGCCGGCGGTGATCTCACTCCTGGAGCGAGGACGGGAGCCCTGGACGGCGGGGAGGGCCGGGCCAGGAGGCACGGGCTCCGGTGAGTGAGGGAGCGGGGGAGGCGGAGGCCATGCCGCAGCCTGAGCTCTGCCGTCCGAGGGTCCCGCAGCCACTGGTCTCGTCGGGGGCTTCCTCAGAGCCCCCGGCCTGGGGCACACGTCGCGCCGGCTTTTCGCACAAGGTCCCCAGCGTCTGCTCTCGGTGTACGTGCCCTCGCGGGTCCCCTGGGCCTCGCCTTGTCGTGCTGCACGAGTCTCTCCAACACGGGAAAACACCCAGGCACAGCGAAGCCCCTATGCCTTCCTTCCGTCACTCATTTCCTTTTTTTTCTTTTTTAAAAATATATGTTATTGATTTTTTACAGAGAGGAAAGGAGAGGGATAGAGAGTTAGAATCATCGATGAGAGAGAGACATCGACCAGCTGCCTCCTGCACACCTCCCACTGGGGATGCGCCCGCAACCCAGGTACATGCCCTTGACCGGAATCGAACCCGGGACTCCTCAGTCTGCAGGCTGACGTCTGTCCACTGAGCCAAACTGGTTTCAGCGTCTCTCATTTTTTTTTCTTTTTGGTTGAAGGATTGATTCATTTCGTTTTTCATTATTTTACTAACAGTGCTGAGCGTCTTCTCATGAACTTATTGGCCATTCATATATCTGTTGTGAAGTGTTCTATTTAAAAAATATATATATTTTTTTTTATTGATTTTTTATAGAGAGGAAGAGAGGGATAGAGATTTAGAAACATTGATGAGAGAGAATCATCAATCAGCTGCCTCTTGCACACCCGCTACTGAGGATGTGCCCACAACCAAGGTGCATGCCCTTGACCGGAATCAAACCTACAATCTCTCCACTGAGCCAAACTGGTGTTGGCTCTCTTAGCAATATTTTATAGTCATTCAGTATAGTGGTTTAAAAATCTACAAAAAATAAATAAATTTGTGAGTCTTATTTTTGTATGCTATTATAAATAGAATTCTTAAAAACTCCCATCTTCCAATTACTTGCTGCTAATATTCAAGAATGTAAAGTGATTTTTATATTAACTATCTTACAACCTTGCTAGATTCATCCAGTAGTTGAGCATTTTCTGCCTAGACAATTATGCCATGTGCCAGTAGTTTTATTTCTTCCCTTCTGTTCCTTATGCCTTATTTTTCTTGTTATTATAATGGCTCCGGTCTCCTGTACAGGGTTGAAAAGAATTGGTGAGAGCACATATACTTGCATTGTTCTCAGTCTTAAGGGGAAATCTTTCACCATTAAGTTCATGTTCATTTGCTTAGATGCCTTTTCTCAATTTTAGGAAGTTGATTTCTATTCCTGGTTTGCTGAGAAATTTTGTAAATATAGTAAAATACTCTTTAGACATCTGATTTTTCATCTTTAATCTGCTGATTTTTTATACATTAAACCAACCTTGCATTCCTGGGATAGACTATACTTGGTCATGATTGTGCTTTCCTATTATTTTGGATCTGATTTGCCGTAATGTTATTAAAGGTTTTATATGTATGGCCCTAGCTGGTTTGGCTCAGTGGATAGAGCATTGGCCTGTGGACTGAAGGATCACAGGTTCACTTCCGGTCAAGGGCACATGCCTGGGCTGGGGCTTGATTCCCAGTAGGGGGCGTGCAGGAGGCAGGCAACCAGTGAGGCTCTCTCATCATTGATGTTTCTGTCTGTCTCTTCCTCTCTGAAATCAATAAAAATGTATTTTTTTTTAAAAAAAGGTTTTCTATTTATGTTCCTGTGCTACTAGTACATTGGTGAACCATGATTGGAATGTTGGGCTGATTATAAAAGTGGTGAGAAACAATCGAGAAACATGGATCAGAAGAGAAGGTGATTTGATTGGGGAATGGAAAGGGAGAGGCAGATGAAGGCCTGTGGCAGGTTAAAACCAAGAAATTTCAGACAAAATTACTTCCATCCAAAGGCATCTCAGCCTCAGGGATGAACTGGAAGGTTACGTTTGTTTGGAATGCATCTCGTAGAAAATGATATTCCGGAAGACATTTTCCAGACTGCGAACGTTACACCACAGAGCCCATGTCCAGCCTAAGGCAGCTAATAGTGCCTGGTGTGTCTTTGGGTCTGGGGATCTTACGGAGATATTTTAGCCACTCCGACATTATGAAATTAGTTTTCCTAAAAATAATGAACATAGCCCTAACCGGTGTGGCTCAGTGGATAGAGTGTCGGCCTGCAGACTGAAGGGTCCCAGGTTCAATTCCGGTCAAGGGCATGGACCTTGGTTGTGGGCACATCCCAGGTGGGGAATGTGCAGGAGGCAGCTGATTGATGTCTCTCTGTCATCAATGTTTCTAACTCGCTATCCCTCTTTCTTCCTCTCTGTAAAAGAACTAATAAAATATCTATTTAAAAAAATAAAAAGTAAAAATAATGAACATATCTTGAATGCAGGATAAACTGAGGCAAAAGAAGAAGGGTATTTGGAGACTGTTTTATATATATATATTGTGATTTTAAAATAACCTCTTCAGTATTTAATTTTCCTGATAGTTACCTTACTGATTATATATGAATTTATGTCCTTAGTCAACTCTCTAAAGTTCTTATGTATTATATTCACTGATTTTTGTTTTAAAAATTATTTTCTTCTGCATAAGCACAAAAGACTTTTTTTTCTTATTATTTTTTAGAAGGGGAGCATGCCTTTAAAAACAGTGAATTTTCATCAACGCAAGTCATTCATGAAGAATCATCCAAAGTAGCGACAACAGGAAGAAGCCATCTTAGTTACAGCCTGGATCACCCCAGTTTGATAGAAGACCTTAAGAGTGGGGGGGACTGCTTTAACAACAAGTTGCAAAGCAAGGAGGCCCGTCTTAGTCAACCGATCATCACTCATCAGGAAATCCTTTCTGAAGGTCAAAGCAGGGACTGTGCTAAATCTTGGCAAGCTTTCCACCAGGACGCAATATTTGCCATAAAACAGAGTTTCCCCGCCAAAGAGAGAACACACAAGCGTGAGCCACAAAAGAAGAGACTCCGGGGAAAACCGGTTGACCTGAAGCCCAAGAAAGTCCTCGTGGAAAAGAAGCTTTTGAAGTGTAACGAGTGCGAGAAGGTCTTCCATCAGAGCTCGTCCCTGACCCTGCACCAGAGGATCCACACCGGGGAGAAGCCCTACGCCTGCCTGGAGTGCGGGAAGACCTTCAGCCAGAGCGCCAACCTGGCCCAGCACAAGAGGATCCACACCGGGGAGAGGCCCTACGAGTGCAAGGAGTGCAGGAAGGCCTTCAGCCAGAACGCGCACCTCGCCCAGCACCAGAGGGTCCACACGGGAGAGAAGCCGTACCAGTGCAGCGAGTGCAAGAGGGCCTTCAGCCAGATCGCACACCTGACGCAGCACCAGAGGATTCACACCGGGGAGAGGCCGTTCGAGTGCGTCGAGTGCGGGAAGGCCTTCAGCAACGGCTCCTTCCTCGCCCAGCACCAGCGGATCCACACGGGGGAGAAGCCGTACGCGTGCAGCGTGTGCGGGAAGGCCTTCAGCCACCGCGGCTACCTCATCGTGCACCGGAGGATCCACACCGGCGAGAGGCCGTACGAGTGCAAGGAGTGCCGCAAGGCCTTCAGCCAGTACGCCCACCTCGCCCAGCACCGGCGCGTCCACACCGGGGAGAAGCCGTACGAGTGCCGCGTGTGCCGCAAGGCCTTCAGCCAGGTCGCGTACCTGGACCAGCACCAGCGGGTGCACACGGGGGAGAAGCCCTACGAGTGCGTCCAGTGCGGGAAGGCCTTCGGCAACAGCTCGTCGCTGGCCCAGCACCAGCGGAGCCACACGGGCGAGAAGCCGTACGTGTGCACCGAGTGCCGGAAGACCTTCAGCCAGAACGCGGGCCTCGCCCAGCACCAGCGCATCCACACGGGCGAGAAGCCGTTCGGGTGCGACGTGTGCGGGAAGGCCTTCAGCTACAGCGGCTCGCTGACCCTGCACCAGAGGATCCACACCGGGGAGCGGCCCTACGAGTGTCAGGACTGCAGGAAGGCCTTCCGGCAGCGCGCCCACTTGGCCCATCACAGGAGAATCCACGCGGTGGAGTCTTTCCTGAGTCTCTCCTCCTCCTCCTCCTCTTCCTCCTCCTCGCCCTCCATGTCCGGTCATTTGCCAAAAGCTATAGGTTTTATCTCCTAAATACGCCTTGAGTCTCACTCCTTTTTAAAAAAATATATATATATATTTTATTGATTTGTTTTTACAGAGAGGGGGAGGGATAGAGAGTTAGAAACATCACTGAGAGAGACACATCGATCGGCTGCCTCCTGCACACCCCCTACTGGGGATGTGCCCACAACCAAGGTACGTGCCCTTGACGGGAATCGAACCTGGGACCCTTCAGTCTGCAGGCCGACGCTCTATCTACTGAGCCACACCGGCTAAGGTGAATCTCCTTTTAATCCTTTCCACTCCATCCTCTTCATCCAGTGCACAGTAGTCTACTTGACATGGACTATGGAAACAGCTTTCTCACTGGTTTACTGCGTTTACCACTCACGTTGTCCTCTGTCACACTGCAGACCAACCCATTAAACATAGTTTGATCAGATCGCTCCTCTCATTGAAAGCCCTCGGAGGCATCCTCTGGTTTGTAGGTGGACGCCCTCATTCCTCAAGAGAGCCTAAGCGGGCTCCCTCCGACACCTTGTTCCAGCCTGCCTTACGGAGCCTCCTTGTGCCAACATCCACCTTGCTCTCCGAAGACTCATCCAGAATGAGGCACTCATGCCTGCGTCAAATAGATCTTGGTTCTAATCCTTGCTCTTCCATTTTTTAGCCTTCTAAATTCGGAGAAACATTTTGTCATTTGTAAGCTTCCGTTTTATGTCACAGAAGTAATAATGGCACTGCCTCGAAAGTTAAGGCCGGCCTGCTCGGTGGTGACAGCATTGGCACTTGGACTGAAGAGCCGTGGGTTCAGTTCTGGCCAAGGGCACGTGCCTCAGTCGCAGGCTTGAGCCCCAGCTCCGGTTGGAGCATGGGCGGGAGGCAACCAATCAATGTGTCTCTCACATCCGTATTATCCTCCATCTCCCCCTCCCTTCCACTCTCTCTCAGAATCAATGGAAGAAATATCCTTGGGTGAGGATTCACCACAAAAATGTTAATGAGAACGTTCAATGAGATCATGCATGTCAGTGGCCCAGCAGAGTGCCTAGTAGTCTCTAAATAAACCGTAAAATGAAAAGATACTGTGGTATTCAAAGAAAACATGACGACCTAAACAATTAGCTGAGAAATAGCCACAGCAGCAGCAGCTCCCGTCTCAGAGAGGTTATAGAGATTTTTTTATCAGGAATAGCAGTTGTTCTGAAGGTGGGTGACCTGGGTATCTATTTTTTTTTTTAATGTATTTTATTGATTTTTTACAGAGAGGAAGGGAGAGGGATAGAGAGTTAGAAACATCGATGAGAGAGAAACATCGACCAGCCGCCCCCTGCACACCCCCCACTAGGGACGTGCCCGCAACCAACGTACATGCCCTTGACTGGAATCGAACCCAGGACCCTTCAGTCCTCAGGCCGACGCTCTATCCACTGAGCCACACCGGCTTCGGCCATTAATTCTTGTATGTGCGCTGACCGGGGGAGAACCCATACCCTTGGCGCATCGGGACTAGACTCCAACCAGCTGAGCTCCTCGGCCAGAAATGGCATGCGTTCAGGGGGCTTCAAACTACGGCCCGCGGGCCACATGCGGCCCGCAGGAGTCTGATCCGGCCCGCCAGGTTTTTTGGGCAGTGAGCGCAGCCGAGGGGTTACAGTAGGAATTAGTAGTTCATATAGTCCGGCCCTCCAGCTCTCTGAGGGACCGTGATCTAGCCCCCACTTTAAAAAGTTTGAGGACCCCTCGGCAAGAAATGGCATGCGTGAAATGAAAAAGGAGTCTGAACACCTGCAGGTGGGCATGCATCTTCCAGTTCACCACCGTTCACACCACGCCCTGTTCCCTTACGTCTGACTTGCCTTACCCTTCATACCGTGTTCTCTTTGAGAAGACAGGCAATGCGTTGGCCACCCCACGTGGATACGGGCACAGAGAAAATGGCGCAAGTTCATAGAGGGAGGGTGAAAGACTTGAGCAGATGTTTATCCTTCTGCAGGGAAGACTCAGTGTGACACTGATGTTAGCAGGCCCCAAATTTCACCCACAGGTTCCTTGTACCTAATGAAACCCTAGTGAGAATGTCTTATGGCTCAGAAGACTGTCTCTGTGAGCACACACACACGCATTCCATCAGATAAACGTAATAAAGGTGATGTTTCATGCCAGTGGCTTAACAGGATTGGCCAAGTTGACTCGCTCTGCATAAAACGATCCACTCCTTGTATCCATTCACTTAAAAAAAAAAAAAAAATATATATATATATATATATATATATATATATATATATATATATATTATTGATTTTTCACAGAGAGGAAGAGAGAGGGATAGAGTCAGAAACATCAATGAGAGAATCATTGATCAGCTGCCTCTTGCACACCCCCTACCAGGGATGTGCCAGCAACCAAGGTAGATGCCCTTGACCGGAATCGAACCTGGGACCTTTCAGTCCGCAGGTCGACGCTCTATCCACTGAACCACACCGGTTTCGGCTCCACTCTTTTTAAAAAAATATATTTTATTGATTTTTTCAGAGAGAGGAAGGGAGAGGGATAGAGAGCTAGAAACATTGATGAGAGAGGAACATCGACCAGCTGCCTCCTGCACACCCCCGACTGGAATCGTACCTGGGACCTCTCAGTCCGCAGGCTGATGCTCTATCCACTGAGCCAAACCGGTTTTGGCTCCACCCACTTTTTTATCCAAATGTGAAACTGTGACTAACGGACACCATAACATACTTTATAGAGCGAGAACCATCTTCCTAAGTGGCATGAGATGCAGAGGCCTCACACACACACACACACACACACACACACACACACACACACGTTCTAGGTTTGATTGTGTCAGAACTTTATTGAGTACAGAGTCAGAGACAGTACAAACAAAAGGTTTAAACATCAGAATTAAAGGGAATCATTATCCCATGAAATTCACGGTAACACACAAGTGCTCCCACAACCACTTAGAAAACGGCACTTCCCCCCTCAATGGGCAGAGCAGGACGAGGCAACAGGCGACTGAACGTGTGGCACGCAGCGAATCACAGCAGGATCACAAGAACTACAAGGTAAGCCAGCGGGCTATTGACACCGCAAAAGCAAAGGAAAGGAGATGCTTCCATGTGCCGGGCGAGGAAAAACGAATTATGTGGCCTTCTGTGGACGGCAGCTTGTCGACACCAGAATTCTCATGGGCCAAACCGAGATTTTCTTCTGCAGTTCACACACCACACACAGCGCATCTCCCAACAACGGCGAAGGCACCAAGCAAGCTCAGGGAAGGAGGGTCAGGAGGAATAGCTAGACCAGGCAGAACTCGACTCATTCAAACGTTAAAATCCTAGCCTTGCAGAGGCTCTGGAACACAGGGAGAGTCAGTCTTACCCGATTTCCTTTACTAAAATTGGGGGGGGGGGATCCCCAAATTACATAAAAACATGCCAGCATCACTGAAAGAGGAAAGTGATGCCATCTCACGTCACACAGACTGTAGAAACGGCAGTGAGGCCATGCCGAACGAACATGCCAGCCTCTGTGGTGCGCTCTGCCCTCTGGTTAAGAGAGGCACAGCAGAGAGCGCTTAGGCAGAAGAAACTGAAAAAACCGGACTAATATAACCCAGCCCGGTGGGCAGGATGTCACGGGATGAAGGTGCTTAAAATTCCCCTAAAAACCCTTCGTCCTAGATGCCTGTTTGACTAGCGAAGGCAGGTTGGCCATGTCTGTTCAAGCGTCTTATCTCCTGATCTACAATACCAATCCACCCTTCAAAAATACTGGCGAAACCTCCCAAAAGCACGTGCAGGCGCATGTTCGTGGCAACACTTCCTTACGAAAATAAACCCTGGACCCACAGGGCTCCCTGCCCTCGTCGCTGAATGCTTTGAGAGATCTGCACTTCTGGTGAAGATGGAATTCGAGGGAGGAGTTCGCCTTCCCACCTGAAACACTAACAGAATACACAACACCTTGGTGCTTGAAGAGGCTGGTCCCTGGGCAGCGAAACAGGCCCCTGGGGAATGAGTGAGGGGAACACCGGACCATGATTTCCCCGAGGAACCACAGGCGGTGTTTCCAAAGCCGTGTGTGTGTGTGTGTGTGTGTGTGTGTGTGTGTGTGTGTGGTCCGAGGGGAGGTCATGGGACTGGGTGACCAGAAGGCTGGGGTGGGTAGGGTTCGCAGGATAAAGTGCCTGAGGGCTCTTTCGGGGAAAACAATGCAGACACCTGCAGCATCTTCACTCGAGTAAAAAACTTAACTTTTAGCTGCATCCTGAACGGGACGCGCATGCATGGACATCACCTGACGCTGAGAAAAGGGCCACAGCGTTAGGAGGAGAAAGAGACAAATCCACAGTGGCGAGACTGTGACATGCATCTCTCAATAGGACACGCAGACAGAAAGTCAGGATACTGCACACCTGGACAGCACAGCTGAGAACTCGACCTAATGGACACTGGAAACTCCTCCACCCAAGGGCAGAATGCACATTCCTTTCAGATGCACAAAGCACATGGTCCGAGACGGACCACATGGCAGGCCTTAACACTTGTCTCACGTTAAAAAGGGTTCAAGTCGTACAAAACGTTTTAGTGACGAGAACGGGTTACATTCACAACAACAAAGATAGTTGGAAAATCCCCAAATATGCGGACCCAAATAGCCCGGTTTTTAATGACCCATCGGTCAAGAGGGAAACCAAAAAAGAGAAAATAGAAAATATTTGAATGAAAGAACACAGAATATCAAAGGTTTAACATTGCTTAAAAGGAAACACTGCGCTAACTGCTAAGGTACAAAACGCTCACAACAGCGACTTCAATTAACACCCCACAATTTAGAAAATGAATAATAAACACCAGATTTAGCATAAAATGGAAATAGTAAAAATAAAAATAGATCTTGCGAGATTTTTTTTTTTTTTTTTTTTTTTGAGAGAAAGGAAGGGACAGAGGAAAACATCAATGGGAGAAACATCGGTCATCTGCCTCCACGAAATGCCTTGACTGGGGATTGAACCTGAAACTCAGCTGTGCGTGTGCCCTGATTGGGAGTGGAACACGCAACCTTTCTGGTATATGGAATGACGCTCCAACAGACTGAGCCACCTGCTTATGCTTATTCTACAGAAGCGATGTGACAAATTTAAATGAAAAAGAAAGCCACCCTTCACAGATACAGTTTTCTGCTGGCTGTCATTCAAGTCCGAATCACACATTCCATAGTGTCGGAATGGGTGTTTAGTTACATATGGGTGTTTTCAAAACTGGCTTCTGCAGCCTGGCTGGCGTGGCTCAGTGGGGCGAGCGTCGTCCCAGGCTGCAGGGGTTCGCTGTTTCCATTCCAGGTCGGGGCACACGGCCAGCCTTTGAGGCTTGATACCCAGGAGGTAGGGGCAGGGGGGTGCAGGAGGCAGCTGACAGATGTTTCTCTCTCGTAGACGTTCCTATCTCTCCCTCTCCCTTCCCCTCTTTGAAATCAATAAAAAAAAAATTTTTTTTTTTTAAACAGCTTCTGCAGAGAGGAAATGTACAGAGAACCATCCAACTGTATACAACCAATTTACAGAAAAGGAGAAGTACTGATTTTGTCTTAGGTTTGCTGCACAAGCCAGGAGGAGACACAGCCATGACGGTGAACAGTTCACAGGAGAAGGTCCTGGTACGGAGATCCGGGGGTTTCCCGTCCGTCTGTCCGCGGTGCCAAAGCGAAACACCACCCGCTGGGTGGCTTCAGCGAGAGAAACGCGTTCCTCCGAGCTCCGGGCCCGAGTCCCGGCTCAGGCCGCCGGCGCGGTGAGAGGCTTCAGGCTGCAGACACCCGTCTTCTCCCCATGTCCGTCCGGTCCTGGCAGAGAGCAGGCGGCTCTCTCCGGCGCTCTTTCGTTCTGAGATGCTAACCCTGTCACACGGCCCCGCCCTCCGTCCTCGTCGAACCCTCATTGCTTCTCAGAGGCCCCGTTCCCGAAGGCCATCGCGTTGGGGGGTTGGCTGGACTTCCAACGTATGAACTTGGGAGGAGAGGCGTTGGGCCCATGAGAACCCATTGTCCACCGATTACTTATTGTTCTCCCGTGAAAACACTGACGTTCACTCACGTAAATATAGACAAGTTGTTTTCAAATAAAACCAATGATCTCTCTCTGCTCGGAAGTTCCTCCTTCTTCAGAACGTCACGTTTCTCCTTACTTCGTAGGCCGTGAGGCTGGCTGATTGTGCCGTCCGCATCCGCTCCAGGATTCGCTCTTCTTTATCATCCTCCACAAGAGTCTGTCGGCTGGAAGTGGTACCCTGGCTTTCAGGGAAGTTCCTTCCTTATACGTGACAGTTCTCCTTCTACGGGACAAACTCAGATCTTCACGTGACGTCAAATCAGGCTCCAAGCCCCACCCAAGAGAAATGGACATTTCCACTCTTTGTTGTGTGCGACCAATAAAGTCGCCACAACTCCACTTTAAAACAACTTTAAAACTACGCCCGAGTCCGGCTGGTGTGGCTCATTGGCCGAGGGTCCGCCTATGAACCAGCAGGTCATGGTGCAATTCCTGGTCGGGGGCACAGGCCTGGGTTACGGGCTCCATCCTCGGTGTGAGGCGTGCAGGAGGCAGCCGATCCATGATTCTCTCTCCTCATGGATGTTTCTATCTCTCTCTCCCTCTCCCTTCCTCTCTGAAGTGAATAAAAATATATTTAAAAAAAACCACACACACACACACACACACAAAAACCCCCAAAACATAAAAAGGAAAACTACACTGGAAATAAAATATCAGTGATTCTCATCAAACGAAGAATTGTCTTTATGAAAAATGACCAATCCAACCAGCTGAGCTTCACTGAGACCTACCACGAGGTCACTGCCTCAGCTGATTTCAGTCACTCCGGTCAAAGCCATCAAGGACTTTTGACTTTGGCTTTCAAAGGGGGGAGCATCATCCGACGGCCCCATGTTCACGTAACGTATGTTAGAGACGAATGCATCCCCCCCCCGCCTCCCCGCTGCCTCTGTATCTGCTCCGTTGAGACTCGGCCTGTGCTTCGGGGGCGCCCTCAGGCTTTCCCTTCCGAGTGCGTGTTCTGGTGTCGGACCAGGGAGGAGCTCCGGCTGTAGGCCTTCCCGCACGCGCTGCACTCGTAGGGCTTCTCCGAGGAGTGGCTCCGCTGGTGCCGGATGAGGTCCGAGCCGCTGCTGAAGGCCTTCCCGCAGGCGCCGCACTCGTAAGGCTTCTCCCCGGTGTGGCTCCGCTCGTGCAGGACGAGGGACGTGCGCTGGCTGAAGGCCTTGCCGCAGGCCTGGCACCGGTACGGCTTCTCCCCCGTGTGGATCCTCTCGTGCTGGGCGAGGTGCGCGCTCTGGCTGAAGGCCTTGCCGCACTGGTCGCACTCGTAGGGCCTGTCCTCGGTGTGGATCCTCCTGTGCCGGGTGAGGGAGATGCGGTGGCTGAAGGCCTTGCCGCACTCCTCGCAGTGGTACGGCTTCTCCCCCGTGTGGATCCTCTGGTGCTCGACGAGGAAGGACTGGCGGCCGAACGCCTTGCCGCACCTGCCGCACTTGAAAGGCTTCTTCTGGGAGTGGACGTTCTGGTGGACCTTGAGGCTGGAGGCCTCGGAGAAGGTCTTCCCGCACTCCTCGCACCCAAAGAGCTTCTCCTTCCTCGCGAGGGCCTTCCGGTGCCGGAGGAGGCACGTGCGGCGCCTGGACAGCTCCTTCCTGCGGTGGGTCTTCAGGTGCAGGATGAGGGTCGGGAGCCGCGGGAAGACCCCCTGGCACTTGTCGCACCGGTAGGGCTTCTCGGAAGCGTGGACTCTCTGGTGAAGCACGATGGAGGAGATCCTGTTAAAGGGCCTCCCGCATTTCCTGCATTTGTAAGGATTCTCTAGACGGGGGCCGCTCGGCTGACTCGAGGCCGCCTCCCCCTCCTTAGCTTTCTCTCCAGTATGAATTCTCGTACGTAGAACGAGGACGGGTTTCTCACGGGGGCCTCCCCCACACTGACTGCCCTCGTGGGTTTTCTCTCCGTCGTGGGTTTTGCCGTGACGTGGGAGGGACGGCCTTCGGAGGAAGGGTTTCCCGCGTTCTCTGCCCGGGCGGGCGTTTTCCTTGAGGAGGGTTTTCTGACGTGTCCTCAGGGCCGGACGCGGGCTCGAGGCCTCCCCAGGGCCAGAGGTTCCCTTCCCACCGTGACTCTTCTGGTGGAGGAGGAGGGTCGCCCGCTGCGGGAAGCTCTGCCCGCACTGACCGCACTGGTGGCCCTTCGTGGCGTGGCGAACTCTCTGATGGAGGAGCAGGGACGGGGCCCGTCTGAAGGCTTTTCCGCATCGGCTGCACTCGTACGGTTTCTCTTGGGTGTGGGAGCTCCGGTGAAGTGTGAGAGAGCGGCTTTGGCGGAAGGTTTTCCCACAGTCGTTACATTTGAAAGGCTTCCTCCCTGGATGTGCCTTCTTGGGTTTCTGTAGGGCTGAATTTCTCCTCCCGGTGGGGCCTACGCGGGATGCAGACACTGGCTTCTGAGAGATGCTCTGCCCACGTTTGTTGCAATGATCTGGAGGTAACTTCTTGGTCTCACATTTAGACCCTGAGTCTGAAAGACATCAACAAATTAAACATTTGTTTTCTTATTTAAAAAAATAAAATAAAAACTGTCACGTAAGGAGCTACGTTGAATTGTCAGAAAACTTCCTAGAATGTAAGTGAAACATTCATCAGATTTGACCACAATGATAATCCCATTTTTTTTAAAGTTGAAAATATCTGAAAGCTGTGCATCTAAATCGAAAGGGTTCTTTCTGGGAGAATGGTTTGCAGTAATATTTCCCTTCATTTTTTGACTTTTCCCATTTTCTGAAATGTACATGTCCCTTAAGAATACCAAAATTAGAAAATTAATAGTCATTTAAAATGATGAAAGGAGCTCTTTGAAATGCTAAAGACGTGAAAAACATTAGAAGGGAAATTTAAAACCGCTTGAACACCTTTTGACATGTTCCCAGAATTAATGTTTAGAAAAAATAAAACTGTGACATCTGAATTTCATTGGGCTGATGAGATTGGGAGGCAGGATGGGAAACATTTTAAGTAAATACTCATTTTTGCAGGAGTCACTTTGAACTCTCTCTTGAAGGGAGAAACCCTTCACGTCCAGTTCCGTTCTTTGTGGAAACATCCTTCAGGAATGAGGGAGAAACAAAGACTTTCTCAGACAGACAAATGTTGCCAGTTTTGTTGCCAGTAGACGTGTGCGATCGGTCCGAGGTGACCCCGGATCTTGAAAAATCCTCTCCGGCTGCACCTCAGCGAGGAAACCGAGGCCTCGTTATGAAAATTGCTGGACCACTCCTTGTCATGCCGTCCTTGGCTACATCTGCCTTGCAGGAACAGTCACAATATACTCTATTTTTTTTTTTTTTTTTTTTTACATATATTTTATTGATTTTTCACAGAGAGGAAGAGAGAGGGACAGAGAGTTAGAAACATCGATGAGAGAGAATCATCGACCAGCTGCCTCTTGCACATCCCCTACTGGGGATGTGCCCGCAACCAAGGTACATGCCCTTGACCGGAATCGAACCCGGGACCTTTCAGTCCACAGACCGAAGCTCTGCCACTGAGCCAAACTGGTTTCGGCGGGACCAAAGTTTTGCTGACCGAGTCCGAGCCAGGGAAGACGTCAGACTGGAAACAACAAGCAAAGACAGGAAGCATCTGACTAAGAACTCGGCTGCAGAGGCAGTATGACTTGGCTCCTCGATTCTATCGGCTCCTGGGTTCAGCCCACCATCTTCTCGATATCACCAACCCTAATGTGGCTACAGGTTGCTGGTGATGTCTTCCCCCAGGAGCACTCCTATTAATTTTTAAAATGTATTTTATTGGTTTTTTATAGAGAGGAAGGAAGACAGACGGAGAGTTAGAAACATCAATCAGTTGCCTCTTGCACACCCCCCACTGGAGATGCGCCCACAACCAAGGTACATGCCCTTGACCGGAATTGAACCTAGGACCCTTCAGTCTGCAGGCTGACGCTGTATGCACTGAGTCAAGCCGGTTAAGGCAGGGCCACTCCTATTAATGGCTACCCCAGTAAACAAAGCTAAACCAGGGAACTTAGCGGAAGAAATAACAGGACCTGTCACGGCTAATGTGCAGCAAGCTGGTGTTACTCCTATTTGTTTCCGCAGTGCCCAGGGCCAACGCCCAACAGGTCGCCTCCAAGATGATCTATGCAACTCCACTCTCAAGGCTGAAAACACCGCCTACCTCTGGTCCACCCCCCCCCCCCCCCCCCCCGATCATTCGACGTGTGTAGGACCTTGTCTGGCTTTTGTGTCCTATGATAGCAGCTTTTCTCAAAAAGAACTCTGGTGCTTTCTGATTCTGGATGGACTGGAAATACCACAAAAACAACTTTCCTTATGCTCACCCCTGCCAGCCTGCAAACTGGACATATATTTTTAAAATCATGAAGGTTTTGTCCTCTCAGGATGGCAAAATAAAGTAGCTTAAATATTGCTCAAAATTCAATAGCAGAATTTTAAAGACAAAACCCCCAAGCAGCCTGCATTTTAAATAGGCTGGGGGAGGGGGAGCATTTGTGCCTCTTGGGTCAAAACATATAAATTTCTAAATTTGCTTTTTAAATAAAAATACCTACTCTACTTAATATAATAAATTAGCTTTTTAAAACAAAATCAAGGTTTCATATAAATTAAATTATGAGAATATTTTTATAAGCAATTGGACTGAAGATCAGTGAAATTTACTGCAACTTCCCATAACCCCTTTGTATATGCAAATAAGCCAAAGGGGATACTCTTTAAAAATAAAATTCTAAAATTAAAAAGGAGAAATTTCAAAACTTTGAAATCTCTTCTGCTAATATTTACGGGGGAAACTAAAAACTGTTACTCAATCATTAAATCTGATCATAAATAATAGTCAACATAACTATAAGGGGAGTCCTTTGGTGACTTAATGGTCTGGCAGTATCAGTCCACATTTAAAAAAAAAAATGACAATTGTTACCTTGTTGCTCGATGTAAATAAGAAAAAGATTTTTAAAAGAAGCTCTTTATTTTTTTAAATATATATTTTATTGATTTTTTTTACAAAGAGGGAGAGAGTTAGAAACATTGATGAGAGAGAGACATCGATCAGTTGCCTCCTGCACACATCCTACTGGGGACATGCCAGCAACCAAGATACATGCATGCCCTTGACCGGAATCAAACCTGGGACCTTTCAGTCTTCAGGTTGACACTTTATCCACTGAGCCAAACTGATTAGGACTGAAAGAAACTCTTTAAACGCTGACCTAAAAATTAATCTGGAAGGAAATAAAGAGAGGTTTCCTTTAAATGTGTAACTGTAATTAAAAATCATTAAATTAGGTCTCAAAAAAGAAAAGTATGTAAAATTACTCAAAGACTAATAGCAAAAAATTTATTTAATGTCATTTAAACCTTATTTCAAATTAATTAAAATTGGCAAATTGAAATAAGTAAATATTCACGGGACCTAACTGTACTAGGCAGGAACCTATTCTTAAAGCATTAATTACATTTTTACTGATGTTCATCTCATAGTCATAGATGCTTAAGATGTAAAAAATCCAGAGCAGTCACACTTCTTTACAAAAAATTGTTTCCAAAAACCTCCTAATAGTTAAATAAAAATTAAAAAAGGGGGAGAAGGGAATAGTGGAATAATTCCCTGTAAGTACATTACATCAAGAAAATTTTTTTACTTTAAACATTTTTTTCACTTGTAATGCTGATGGCAAGACACCCATGGAAACACCCTTGTTATCAAAATCAGCCCAAGGAATATCGTTTGGGCAAAAAAATGAAAAGGATCCCAAGTGTAGTTTATAGTAGATTCCTTAATCTAACCTTTGGTTGAGAATATGCTTGTGTATTTCCAGGAAACTCCTCCAAGCCCATGTGGTTCTTAAAACAATGGATTTGAGAGAGGAACTGACCAGATGGCTCCAGCCACAGAATAGCAATGGACCCCAAACTACATGCTGAAGACAAGCGGAGAAACAATCCAGAGATGGAGATGGTGAAGATGCCTCGCCATACAAGCAGTGAGCAGCTGTGCGTCGCTGCAGGTTGCCCAGGACCAAGGCAAAGAAGGCTGGACATGCATTGCCACTGTCCACCATCCAGAACTAGAAAATCATTGCTGGCACGTCCACACAAAAAAACCTGTTGGCCATTGAAATAGGGACTGAGAGAACTGTTGGCCCAAAAAGAAACGCACTGCAGACAGATTCCTTTAAGGCCTAGCAGCAATTTAAAAGGACATGAGCCAAAACCGGTTTGGCTCAATGGTAGAGCATCGGTCTGCGGACTGAAAGGTCCCAGGTTCGATTCCGGTCAAGGGCAAGTGCCTTGGTTGCAGGCACATCTCCAGTGGGGGGTGTGCGGGAGGCAGCTGGTCGATGTTTCTCTCTCATCGACGTTTCTAGCTCTCTCTCTCCCTTCCTCTCTGTAAAAAATCAATAAAATATATATTTTTTAAAAATAAAAAAATAAAAGGACATGAATGTGTCCAACTTTAAAATGTATTCAATCAAAAAGAGTGATATGCCAGAAGGTGATTCCAGCAGGATACAAATGCAAGAAGCTCACCAAACGGTTGGTGGACCTTGAGCCTTCAGCAAGGGCTGGGAGATCACATGTTATTATTGCCTGCTGGAAATGGCTAAGGGCATTTCCCCAAACCTGAAAAGGAGGCATAGATGATTGTTTGCTGCCAGACAGCTGAGGGCATTTCAGCCTACATGTTATTGCCTCCTACTGGCCAGTCACTGAAGAGCTGTAGGCAGTTCCCCCAATCCAACAATGCCTCTGTACACTAAACCTTGGCCTTTGATGTGTCTGTCTACCTACCTTGCCTGAGGCCAGTGGTCGGCAAACTCATTAGTCAACAGAGCCAAATATCAACTCTACAATGACTGAAATTTCTTTAAACTTAAACTTCTAACGCCACTTCCTCAAAACAGGCCGTGGTATTTTGTGGAAGAGCCACACTCAAGGGGCCAGAGAGCCACATGTGGCCTGAGAGAGCCGTAGTTTGCTGACCATGGCCTTAGGACAATCCTACCTAATAAGGAGGGAATATGCTAACTGACTTCCCCACCCTCAAAGATGGTGGTACCCACAGCCAATAAGGAGGGAATATGCCATCTGACTGCCCTATCCTCAAAGTTGGCAGCACCCACAGCCACAAGATGGCGACACCCAATCCCCTCAGCCCCCCAGGGCCAGCTGGAGGTGCAGGCAAGCCAGCAGGGGGATTAGTGAGGGACGGCCAAACGACTGAACAGCAGGCTGTGTGGGGCAACCAGGCCGGTGGGGGGAGGGTAGAGTTGTGAGATGACAAGGCCAGTGAGGGGGGGAGGCAGTAGTTGGGGGTGACCAGGATGGCAGGGTGGGCAGTTGGGGGCAATTAGGCTGGCAGGAGGAGCAGTAAGAGGTGAGTAGGCTGGTGGGTGTGTGGGGCAGTTAGGGGCGACCAGTCCTATATGCATAGGTACTGAGGGGCTATCAGTTTGACGGGGGGGGAGGAGGGGGACAGTTAGGGGTGACTAGACAGGCAGGTGAGTGATCAGTAGTCTGTGGTCCAAGATTGTGAGTGCAGGCCGGGCTGAGGGACCCTCTACCCCTGTGTACGAATTTTGTGCACTGGGCCTCTAGTTTGTGTTAATAAAGAGCAAGGTGTCTGGAGATTCAAGAGGACTTGGTTTCTTTAGCTAAGTCTCCTCTGGCTCCCCAAAATGCCTTCCAAAATTATGCTTTGACTCTGGACTCTTTTAATAATTTGCCATAGCCTTTCTCCAGACTCCTGAAGCCTTCTAGATGCTGGATAAGAACCCGCCAACCAGAAACGGACATAACTATCCAGGCCCGGCCACAAGTGACTACACCAGAAAGCTGCCACGAGAATGCGCATAATTTCCTTTATCTTAAACTTTACTATCAGCTTCCTGGCATCTCACTGTATGAAATACATGCACTATATCGAGTCTGGGTCACTGTCTCTCCATCAGAAGGACAGCTGTTCCATCCGGCCCCAGATTTCCCCTTTCTGTCTCTGTGTCTTTCTCCTTCACTTCCTCAATCCCCAGCTGCCACTGCTCAGCAAGTGCACCGCTCTCTGGCCGCGCTGGATGCGGTAAAAGAACATTCGTAATTACACACGTGTCCTTATCGCCTCATTCCCCCAAACGTCCTCAACCCACAGTTGGTTATGTTCACAGGTGTGGAACGACACGGAAGGCCGGATTTGTTTACACACAATGGAAGGTTATAGCCCTTAAAAAGAAGGAAACTGTCACATGCTACAACGGGGACGAACCTCAGGCTCATTCAGCTAAGTAAAAAAAGCCAGTCAGAAAGGTCAAATACTGTGTGATTCCATTCCTGTGAAACAGCCGCAGTCGTCCTAATCGCAGAGACGGAGCAGGGAGGGGCTGCCTGGGCTGGGGAGGACCGGCCATCAGTGGGCAGCTTCTGTGTTGCAAGACACAACGTTCTAGAGACCTGCCGCATGACAACGTGGATACAATCAAGCGCACGTTTAAAAATGGTTACCGACATACATTTAATGTCACTAGGGGCCCGGTGCACGAGATTTGTGCACATTAAAAGAGAAACACATTACAGGAAACATTTTAATATTGCTATTTGCCCTTTCTCTATAATGGAAGTGTCAGAGATGAAAGAAAAGTAGTAAAATGTATATGAAAATAATATATAAATTTATTAAACATAAAGCATAATATAAAAATAACAAAAACATGATCTAAAAACAACAAAAAATGTATTAAAATAACCCTGACACAAATAACTGATAAATTAAACTTTATTCTAGTATCTCCCTGTATATCACCACGTTAAGAGTGAAAACACTTTCAGAATGTCTGACTAAATTCCCTTGTGATGAAATATTTACACCTTTATCATCACATCCTGCTTGAACTTAAAAGAGAAAGCAACATGTAACTGAGCATGTCTGAAAACATGTTCAGGTAGGAATATTCCCACTTTGTCTAGTTTGTCCTTGTGATTTATAAATAGTCATCCCACACGCTGGCATCATGGGAAACTGTCTTCGAACCAATTTAAACGGGAGGCCAGTGTCTGATGGGCACAAATCCAGTCTTGGCATCAGAGCAATCTCTCCCTCTGCAGATCCTGTTCATACTTCTGATTCAGTTATGTCAGGTCACAATCTTGTGATCAATGCCTCGAGGACCATTGAAAAAAAAACTATTTATTATTAAGATTTGTCAGTAGCATGATGACTGTACCCCCTTTTCCATTTTAATTTATGACACGGCATTCCTGAAGGAGCGATGCTATTAAGGAATTCAATGGGAAAATTTTCCTTCCAGCATCCTCTGCCGAGTCAATGGAATCATCGCTCAGATACGTGTGAAAATCCCATGAGTGGACACGGAACTTCTTCATTTATTTCTCAGTCTGCTCATCTTTTCGAGAAACAGCTGCACGTGCAGCTTCATCTTTACGGAGCCGCACTGCGCCAGCAGCTCCCCGCCCCGCGAGGCCCGGTGCCTCCGGAGCCGCCGTTTCTCCACCTCCGCGGCCCGCTGCTCCTGGGACATCTTCTGGCGGTAGCGCCGCCTCCTCTCGGCCTCGGCCCGGCGCTGCGCCAGGAGCTTCTCCCCCGTGAGGCTCTGTCGCCAGCGCCGCCTTCTCTCCGTGTCGGCGGCCCGCTGCTCCTGGGACATCTTCTGCCGGTAGCGCCGGCTCCTCTCGGCGGCGGACCTTCGCCGGGCCAGCAGCTGCTCCGCGGACAGGCTCTGCCGCCAGCAGCGCCTCCGTCCGGCGTCGGAGGCGCGCGGCTGCTCGGGTGCGCTCTGCCGCCAGCAGGCCATTCCCCCGGTGGCGATCGAGGCGCGCCGCTCCTCGCACGTGTCCGGCTGCGCGGACGCCCTCCACGGCGGGCACGCGGCCCCGCGGCCCCGAGCTCGCCTGGCGTCCTGGAAGCCCCCTGTGATCGCAGTCACGCGGGAGGACCGTGAGCGGGTCAGCTCTTGGTCACATCGGAGGACACTTTTTACCACAACCAAAAAGCCTCAGACCCGTGTAACGACCCCCACACAGCTCGGCCGACCAGAGAGGAATCCACTCGGAAGGGAGCGAGCTCCCTCACAGCAGTCAGTGAGCGGTGTGGGAGGACGGGAGGACAGGCAGCGGGAACATTATGCTGCAGAGCTGTCGTTAAAGCGGTGGGAACACGCTTTCTCTGGGGGCAGGGCGAATGCTGAAGCGGGGAGAGTGACGGGTGCGGCTTCTGAGACGGAAGCTGGGGTTCTCCCCGCGGGTCCGGGTTCTCAGCCCCAGCCTCAGCACTGCCGGGAGCGCCCGCAAGGGGCATGCCCGCACCCAGGAAGGACCTGTGCAGAGGAGCCCTGCTCCCTCCCGGGGACGTCACACCGGAGAGGCCGGAGCCCTGCACAGTGAGGGCCCACCCTGCACGGTGTCGGCCCACCCGAGCCCTCCCACCAGGGGTGTGCTCGCACCCGTCCCAGAGCGGCTGTCACTCACCCCGCCCCAGAGCCGCTGTCACTCACCTAGGCCTGGGCCGGGGGGCATGGGCGGGGCCCTGAGTGTCAGCCTGCCTGAGCCCTCCCACCAGGGGGTGTGCTCGCACCCATCCCAGAGCGGCTGTCACTCACCCCGCCCCAGAGCCGCTGTCACTCACCCCGCCCCAGAGCCGCGGTCACTCACCCCGCCCCAGAGCCGCGGTCACTCACCCCGCCCCAGAGCCGCGGTCACTCACCCCGCCCCAGAGCCCCGGTCACTCACCCAGGCCGCGGTGCCTTCCCACCGTCCAGGGCGCTCTCCCCTTCTCCAACAGGGCGATCACGTCTGGCTTCCGGCCGGTCAGGCCTGCACACGGGAGAACACGGGAGTGAGCACGTGGGCCACGGGCCGGGCCACGCTGCCCGGATGGGGAGGGGGTTCGGGCACAGAGGGAGCGCGGGAGGCGGGGCCGCTGGAGAGAGGACGCAGTCCCAGGCCCCGCGGCAGCTGCCTCCTGGGCTCCGCCCCAGCCTCGTCCGCTCTGCACCCCACACCCCCTCCGCCAGCTGCTCCGAGTGTCCCCAGCAGGGGCTCTGCAGTTTCAGTTCCTTTTTCCACCCGCTCCAAGCTGGCCCTCCTGGCCCCTCAGGAGCACAGAGCCGGGCAGTGCGGCCCTCAGTCCCGAGCCCAGCCTCTCCCGGCATCTGTCACTGTGCCTGTCACCTGACTTCCTGACATCAATCCCTCTTTCTCAACACGAGCGAGGTCCTCAAAAGGCTGCACACACGGCGACTGTCTGACCGGCAATCCCGCCCCAGCTACACGCCCGAGAGAAATGAAAATACGCAGCCCCCAAACTCAGACACAGCGCTCCCAGCGGCACACTCTGAGAGCGGCAGGGTGGACACAGCACACGCGCCCATCACGGACCCACACGCGTGGCCCGCGCAACGTTAACGGGCCGCACAGAGGAAGGCGGGCTCACCCAGCGAGGCCAGCGTGTGGTAGGTCTCCAGCATGACGTCCCGGTACAGCGCCCTCTGCGGGGGGCTCAGCTGCGCCCACTCCTCCGGGGAGAAGTAGATGGCCACATCCCCAAACGTCACCGCCTGCGACGGAAACCACGTCGGCCATGGGCTCCTGCGCCCACACGCCCGGCGGGCCTGTCCCCAACAGCAGACAGGGGCCAGGACCCTCCTCAGGACGCCGGAGCCCGGAGGGCGGAGAACAGACACAGCGCGGCCGGCACCTGTCAGGCTGTGCGCCGGCCGGGCCCGCAGGAGCCAGGAGGTCACGGCGTGATCCCAGTCAGGCACCTGCCAGGATGCAGGCTCCACCCACCGAGGGGCGTGCGGGAGGCAGCCGATCTGGGATTCTCTCTCCCTCTCCCTCTCCCCTCCTCTCTGAAGCCAATGTAAACGTAGGGTAGGGTAGGGTAGGGAAGGGAAGGGAAGGGAAGGGAAGGGAAGAAAAGAAAAGACTGGCACAGAAGGCACTCAGTCCAGGCATCCTCGGCTCCTACATGAGCACACGGCTTACGTGGCGCTCAGTCCCTGTACGCGGGAATGGGCCTCTAAGTCAGAGAGGGGTTCTCCTTGTCAGACGGGACGTACAAGCAGAGACAAAGCAAGGCGAGGAGGTTAGCTCTGGAGCACAGCACAGAGCCGTCCCCGCAGGTTCTGAGAACCAGTGGTTGCCGTCTCCCCCGGGGTGTGTGTGTGTGTGTGTGTGTGTGTGTGTGCGCGCGCGCGCGCCCTGGCACTGGCAGGAACCCCGAGATGCCGAGGGAAGGAAGAAGGGGGCGGTCGAGTGCGCTCTGAAACAAAAGCGGGCCCCCCCCCCCCCTCCGCTCCCCCAGGGCGATGCGGGGACCCAGGCGCCGGGCTGGGCGGGGCTCCGTGAGGCAGGCCGGGCCTGGAGGGGAGCACAGGCCCAGGCCTCCGGACGGACCTCCGAGGGAGGGAGGGAGGGAGGGAGCGGCTGCTTACCCGGGGCTTGGGCTTCAGCCGCAGGACGGGCGTCCTCCTCCCCTCCACCACGAGGGCCCTCACGGGGGGCGGGGCGGCGCGCGGGGCCGGCGGGGCTGCGGGGGAGAGAGGTCAGGGGCCGGCCGCCTCGGGCGGGAGCCCAGAGCCCTGGGCACACACGTGCTCCATGCAGAGCACCAAGGTCAGCTCGCAGGGCCAGAGAGGACGGGAGGGCACACGGGGTGTGTGTGTGTGTCTCCCCGGGCACCCAGCACAGGCCTCGGGCCGGCTGGACCGTGTGTGTGTGTGTGTGTGTGTGTGTGTGTGTGTGTGTGTCCCCGTGGCACCCAGCACAGGCCTCGGGCCGTGTGTGTGTGTGTGTGTGTGTGTGTGTGTGTGTGTGTCTCCCCGGGCACCCAGCACAGGCCTCGGGCCGGGCCGTGTGTGTGTGTGTCTCCCCGGGCACCCAGCACAGGCCTCGGGCCAGGCCGTGTGTGTGTGTGTGTGTGTGTGTGTGTGTGTGTGCGCGTGTGTGTGTGTGTGTGTCCGTGGCACCCAGCAGTAGGGAGAGCTGCATGCGCTCAGGGGCCTCCCCGTTGTGGTCGTGTGGGAGAGCCTCGCCCCCGAGGGCAGCGCCGGAGCTGGTGCGGACAGACGGCCAGCAGCCAGCCAGCCAGCGGACGGCCGTGCCTGGGGAAACCGCCCGAGCTCCCGGCTCTCACCCGTGTCCTGAGCGTGTGCAGGCGTGCCTGGGGAAGCCGCCCGTGCTCCCGGCTCTCACCCGTGTCCTGAGCGTGTGCGGCCGTGCCTGGGGAAACCGCCCGTGCTCCCGGCTCTCACCTGTGTCCTGAGCGGGCGCGGGCGTGCCGGGAGCTCGGGCGAGGCCGGGCGGAGGGGTGTCCTGCAGCGTAGGCCGGGTCTCACAGACGACGGGGACGGGCACCTGCACCCACAGGCCGGTGGCCAGCAGCAGGAGGCCCGGGGACCCCAGCGCCCTGTCCGCCGCGGCCACGTCCAGGCGCCCGCGGCCGGCTGCCCGGGACCCATCGTTGGGCGCGATGGGCCGCAGGGCTCGGGGGAGCGTGCCTTCCGCCGGGCCGGCCACCGAGGCTGCGACGGGAGACACGGGGGGGGGGGGGGGTGAGCTGGGGCCCCGGTGAGCGGGGTGAGCTGGGGGGCTGGGGCCCCGGGCCAGGACCACCGAGGCTGCGACGGGAGACACGGGGGGGGGGGGGGGGGCGGGGGTGAGCTGGGGCCCCGGGCCGGCCACCGAGGCTGCGACGGGAGACACGGGGGGCGGGGTGAGCTGGGGCCCCGGTGAGCGGGGTGAGCTGGGGGGCCGGGGCCCCGGTGAGCGGGGTGAGCTGGGGGGCTGGGGCCCCGGTGAGCGGGGTGAGCTGGGGGGCTGGGGCCCCGGGCCGGTCACCACCGAGGCTGCGACGGGAGACACGGTGAGCGGGGTGAGCTGGGGGGCCGGGGCCCCGGTGAGCGGGGTGAGCTGGGGGGCTGGGGCCCCGGGCCGGTCACCACCGAGGCTGCGACGGGAGACACGGTGAGCAGGGAGCAGGGCGAGGGCTGGGGGCTCGGGCAGGAGCCTGTCCCCGGGGAGCTGAGGGCACATCCCCGTTGGGGGGTGTGCAGGAGGCAGCTGATCCATGTTTCTCTCTCAGCGATGTTTCTAACTCTCTCTCTCCCTTCCTCTCTATAAAAAATCAATAAATATATTTTTGAAAAAAAGAACAGAAGACGCTTGGACCACCCAGGAATGGACACCCGTGGGGAGCCTGTGCCAGGACCCAGGGGCAGAGAGCCTATGTGTTTCCCCGCGTTACACACGCGTGTCGGACAGCAGGGAGGGCTGCGTAAGGAAGCGGGGCTGGCGGGCGGGCGGGCAGAGGCGGGTGCAGCAGCGAGTGGGATGGTTATGGGGAGGCCCCAGCTGGGTTGGCTCCGTGGATAGAGCGTTGGCCTGCGGACTGAAGGGTCCCGGGTTTGATTCCGGTCAACGGCACAGGCCCAGGTTGTGGGATGGATCCCCAGAGGGGGGCATGCAAGAGGCAGCCCATGTATGATTCTCCCTCATCGTGGATGTTTCTCTCTCTCTCTCCCTTTCCCTTCCTCTCTGAAAGCAAGACAAAAAAAAAAAAAAAAAAAAGGTTTATGGCGAGCCTCTCGGCAGTGAGACTGGCACACAGGGGGGAGAGGAGGGGAGGGGAGGGGAGGAAGAGGGGAAGGTGTAGGGCCCAGACTCATAGCACATGGAGGCCAATCGCCGTACACAGGCCCCGCCTAGCCCTCGGCACTGGGCGGGTCCCGGGGGCCCTGTCTCACCGGAGGGAGGCAGCGCTGAGAGGGTGAGGTCACGCCCGGCGGTCTTCCCCCGGCCCTGGACCGCAGGGAGCCCTGGAGCCGGTGCCGGGAGCCGGGGGCCGGGAGCCGGGGGCCGGGGGCCGGTGCCGGAGCCGCACACGGCGGCGCACCCCCAGCAGCAGGGGCGGCGGGCTGCCGGGCGCCGTGGCGTGGCACCCCGACCAGCGGCCTCCCACAGGAAAGCGCTCTGGTGGTTTCTGCTCGTGTGATGCCTCTGACCACGCGGACGTGGTGCTCACCGGAGAGGAACATGGCCCGGGCGGAGCGGGCGGCTCCGGGGCGGCGTCCTGCCCGGCCTCCGGCTTCTCATCGGCCGCCGAGCGGAGAAGCGCGTCCTGCTCCAGCAGACGGTGTCCTCCAGGCCTGGGCGCTGGGGGGAGAGCAGCAGTGAGTGGGGGGTTCTGGCGGAAGCCCCCCTGCCAGCGGCCTGTGGGGCGGGGCCCGGCCTCAGTCTGCCCGTCTGCCTGATGGGTGCAGGACGCTCCCTCCGCGGCTGCTGGGCACTGGCCTGGGCGGCCCCGGCTCCCAGCCAGCCCTCCCGGCCCCTCCGCACAGGCAGCCGGAGCCGGAGGGCACGGAGGCCAGCCCTGCCCTGACTGCGGCCCCGCGGCCGGGGACAGCCAAGACGCTGCTCTAGGGCAGTGTTTCCCAACCTTCTCTCATGAGAGAATCACCTGGTGGAGTTGTTAAAACACAGATTCCCGGATCCCAACTAAGAAGTGCTAAACTAGAATTTTTGGGAACATATAGGTAAAATTGTATACTTAACTAGTGCTCTAAGACAGATTTTATATACAGAGCACTAAGTTAGGTATGCAATTTTACCTATATGTTCCCAAAAATTCTAGTTTAGCACTTCTTAGTTGGGATCCGGGAACCTGTGTTTTAACAACTCCACCAGGTGATTCCCATCATGAGAGAAGGTTGGGAAACACTGCTCTAGAGGCCGAGGCTGCCATTACAGAACGGGGGGGGGGGGGGGAGCGCCCGCACGTGGGGGGGCCTGTCCCCTCCGGGGCCGGGCAGGGTCAGGCCGCCTGGGCTGATCCTGACCCTGAAGCACTGGCCACTCCCCCGGGTTCGATCCTGCACTGCCGGGCGCCCAGCAGGGCCCGTGGGACAGCAGACATGGGTGAGAGAGAACATTGGCTGCAGAGCGGGTCTCCGAGGACTGAGCCTGGGCCTCTTTTTAGTCCCTAAGGCTCCCCCGGGGCCCCGCTCGGTCCCTGGGCCGCCCGGGGGGGGGGGGGGGGGGTGCGGAGGTCGGACCTCCGTGTGGAAGCGAGAGCTTCGGCTGAAGGAGGAAGCACGCAGCAGCCCGCGGACTGGCAGGCACGGCTGCAGCCACTCCTGCTTCCATAGCTGGGGGACCACGGAGGCTGGTGCTGCCTCTGAACACAGCACCTACTGCCGCCCCGCCGCCCGCTTTACTTTCACTTTAAAAAACGTTTTCTACTGCCCTGACCCTGTGGCTCAGTGGATAGAGCATCGGCCGTGCAGACTGAAGGGCCCCGGGTTCGATTCCGGTCAAGGGCATGGACCTTGGTTGCGGGCACATCCCCAGTGGGGGGCGTGCAGGAGGCAGCTGATGGATGTTTCTCTCTCATCGGTGTTTCTAACTCTCTATCCCTCTCTCTTCCTCTCTGTAAAAAAATCAATAAAATATATTAAGTATTTTCTATTGATTTCAGAGAAGAAGGGAGAGGGAGTTAGAAGGATCAGCGATGAGAGGAAATCATTGATCGGCTGCTCCCCATACGTCCTCCACACCGGGCCTGTGCCCCGGCCGGGAATCGAACCTGACCTCCTGGTTCATAGGTGGACGGGCCCTACTTCACTTTTCCAAACACTCACTGCCACCTGGCACAGATTCATTTATGCAAGTATATTTTTATTGATTTCAGAGAGGGAGCGAGAGAGAGAAACATGAACAATGAGAGAGAAGCATAGATCGGCTGCCTCCTGCACGCCCCCCCACCGGGGACTGAGCTCACAGCGGCTGTTCTCGATCTGAGCCTACAACCATCAGAAAACACAGATATTTACATTAGGATTTGTAACAGGAGCAACATGAGAGTTACGAAATAGCAGCGAAAACAGTTTTGTCGTTGGGGTCACCACCACAGGAGGAGCTGCATTAAAGGGCGGTGGCATCAGGAAGGCTGAGAACCACCGGCCTAGGCACAGCTGCCTCAGCTCATGCCCGGGGACCCCCCCCCCCCCCAGGCCCTGCTCAGGTCTCCCTCCGTGAGCTCCCGATGACACCTGCACCCAGGAGGCACCTGCTTCTGCCCTGCCTGCCCCTCCCCAGACCCAGGCGAGGAAATTCCAAGTCTCTCTGGGCGTCCTTCCCGTTACGTTGTCAGTAACAGCCCTGGCTGGTGTGGCTCAGTGGATAGAGCCTGGGCCTGTGAACTGAGGGGTCCTGGGTTCGATTCCAGCCAAGGGCACCACAGGCCTGGGTTGTGGGCTCCAGCCCCTGTGGGGGACCTGCAGGAGGCAGCCGATCCATGATTCTCTCTCATCACTGATGTTTCTCCCCACCCCCCCTTTCCTCTCTGAAACCATCAACATGTTCTTTAAAAAAGACGTCAGTAACAAGGCCGCTGTCATTTAAGGGCTGCCGTCCACTGAGCGCTCACAGGAGCCCGGACTCACACCACCTTCCGATTGTGCGTGCGAACCGAGGGCGGTGGGCGTCAGCGACCTTTTCCGAAGCCACACAACCAGCCGGCGTCAGGCCGCGCCGAGCGCCCTGCCCTCCTTTTCCTCTGCTTTTAAAGAAATACATTTAAAAAATATACATTTTATTGATTTTTTACAGACAGGAAGGGAGAGGGATAGAGAGTTAGAAACATCCATGAGAGAGAAACATCCATCAGCTGCCTCCTGCACACCCCCCTACCAGGGATGTGCCCGCAGCCAAGGTACACGCCCTTGACCGGAATCGAACCTGGGACCTTTCACTCCGCAGACCGACGCTCTACCACTGAGCCACACCGATTTTGGCTTAATAAATATTTTTATTGATTTTGGAGAAGGGAGGGCGAAGGGCAGAGAGAGAGAGAGAGAGAGAGAGAGAGAGAGAGAGAGAGAGAGAGAAACATCCATGATGAGAATCACCACTCAGCTGCCTCCTGCACGCCCCCTACTGGGGATCAAGCCCCTAACATATGCCTGCCCCGACCAAGAATCGAACCCAGGCCCCTTCAGTCCTCAGGCCGAGGACTCTATCCACTGAGCCACACCGGCGGGGGCCACCCTCCTTTCAAAGGCAGACAGCCAGCGGCAGGCAGCGCGGCTCCGGGGGGCGCCCAGAGCCAGGCTCCGAGACACCCCCTCCCCAGCATCCCCTGGCATCCCCTGCCCCCGCCTCTGCAGGGGGATCCACAACCGACATACCCGGCACCCCGCACCCCCACAGGCTCAGCAAGCGCTATGCTGGGGGGGGGGGGGGGTCACCCCGCTTATCTTCCCGGCCCCCGCAGGCAGGCCCCGCACGGCCCCCCGCACCGCCTTCCCCAGTGGAGCAGGGATTTGGGGGGACACGGACAGGCTTAGGGATTTTTATTTTTTTTTAAGAATTGGGGTCCCTGGGAAAGCGCGGGGCTACGGATGGGGAGAAGGCACATCCCCATCAGTAAGGGACCAGGAAAGGTCGCATTTACAAAACAAAGAGGCGGCGGCCCGAAGGGAACGGAAACAATGAGGGGAGGCGGTGGTGGGAAGGGGGAGACCCTCGTTCGCGCTCCCGCGAGGTTCCACTGGAGCCCCGCCGTCACCATGGCGACCAGCTGGCGCCCAATCAGCGGCGCCGCCCAGGCTCCGGGCTCCAGCCGCCGCGGAGAGGGATTCAGGGGGACCCCCCCCATGGGGGAGCCTGTCCTTGTTCTTCCATAACCCCCCCCCCGCCACACCCCCGTCTGTCCCTGGCTTCATCCTTCCGTTCCGGGGACAAAGGATCCGGGGTCCGGGTCAGAAATTAAAAAAATAAGAAATAAGAATCGGTGCCTCCCGGAAGCCGCCCCGCGGGGACCCCGGGGCGCACCCCTCGCACCCGCAGAGGCGCCGACACCCGGTCGCACAGCCGGGGAGCGGGGGCCCCGGGCGGCGGCGGCCACAGGCCCGCACCTGCCGCCGCCCGCGCTCACCTGCTCCGGCACCGCATCCCCGGGGCCCCCACCGCCGGCTGCGTCCCCCCGCCCCGCTCTCCGCCCGCACACCGGCGCCATCACACGGCTCACACGCAGCCTGGGGCGCAGGGCTCCCCACGCGGCCTGAGGACCCCACGGAGCAGCGGGAGCGCGGACCCCCACACTCACCTCACCGCCGCCGTCCTCCGGGGCCGCGGCCCAGCGGCGCCCACCGGCCTCCGGCGCCGACGCCCCCGCGCTGCCTGCGCCTGCGCACTCTCCTCCCGGACCTAGGCCCCGCCCCCACGCCCCGGACAGCCCCCTCACGCTCGGGGCCGGCCCCGTATGGCCTCAGGCGTGCTAGGCCCCGCCCCCTCAGGGTTGGGACCGCCTCCCGCACCGCCTCAGGAGCGCGAGGCCCGGCCCCTCAGGATTGGGACCGCCTCCCGCGCCGCCTCAGGAGCGCGAGGCCCGGCCCCCTCAGGGTTGGGACCGCCCCCGGCCGCCTCAAGAACTCGAGGCCCCGCCCCCTAACGCTCCGGACCGCCCCCGTGCTGCCTCAGGAGCACGAGGCCCCGCCCCCTAACGCTCCGGACTGCCCCCGTGCTGCCTCAGGAGCACGAGGCCCCGCTCCTCTCCATCAGGACCGCCCCCTGGCCACATCAGGAGCGAGAGGCCCCGCCCCCTCACGGTTGGGACCGCCCCCTGGCCACATCAGGAGCGAGAGGCCCCGCCCCCTCACGGTTGGGACCGCCCCGTGCGGTCTCAGGAGCACGAGGCCCCGCCCCCTTACGCTCGGTGCCGCCTAAGGAGCGTGAGGCCCCGCCCCCTGGCGCTCGGAACCGGCTCCAGCGCCTCCTCGCCCCGCCCCTAAACAAAGCCACGCGGCTCCAGCGCTTCGGCATCCATCACTCCCACGAACAGCAGGAGGCCCCGCCCCTCTCTGACGTAACCGCGAACGCCAACACGCACGCAATCAGCGCCGTCGGGGGGTGGGGGGAGCGTCGCCGCCTCCTCGCCAGCCCACGTGGCACGCTAGGCCGGCCTCGCGCGCCGCCCGGGCCGCGCGCCCCTGGTAGGATCGCGTGCCCGTTCCCCGGCGCTGCGGCCCCCGCCCTGGGTCCGTCCACCCTGATCCGGCCCCCGCCTCGGCGCCCTCCTCGGCCTCCGCACCTGGGTGTCCCGCTCCGGAACCAGCAGGACCGGGAGGCGCGTTCAGCCGCGAACGCTGACGCGCGCCTGCGCACTGCGCACTCACTCCCAGAAGCCTCCGGGGCGCCGCGCGGCTCCGGGCGGCTCCGCCCCGGCGGGAGGTGGGGAGAGCGGGGCGACGCGGGCTGCGATCTCTTCTTCCCGGAGACCCTCTGGGCCCGGAGAGGGGCGGAGGGACGGCCCTCGGGTCCGCCGTGGAATCGCACTGGCGCCTTCATGGATCCCGGAGCCCAGAGTCCTTGGCGTGGCTCCAGAACTCCATTTCCCAGGATGCCCTGCGGCCCGTTGCCGTGGCGACGCGTCGCCCACTGGCCGCTTTTGCCCCGAGGCTAGAACGCTGGAAGCTGCAGAGAATCTTTAATTTATCCTGTTGCTGTCGCTCAGCGATACCCAGGAACCAGGAGGTCACTGGTTCGATTCCTGGCGAAGCAGGAACTTTAGGGGGATCTGGGCAGGCTTAGGTTTTTTGTGTTTTTTTTTTAGAATTGGGGTCCATGGGAAAACAAAGGAAGGAGGTACATTTCCGTAACACAAGGAAGCCAGGTGCAGTCGCATTTCCATAAGACCGGGATGCAACAGATGCATTTACATAAGACTAGGGAAATAGCTAAGAAAGGCCTATATTTACAAAATAAAGAGAAGGAAGCCCTCCATGCAAAAGGAGGGGAAGGCAGCCCAGAGGGAATTGGAAAACAATAGGAAAAGGGGGGAGGGGAGGGAGAGAACCTCACTGACTCACGTGAGGTTCAACCTTTGAACCCAGGAGTTACTGTAGTAACCATCTAGGGGAATAGTGACCAATCAGAGGGGTTATCAAGGCACCAGGATCTGCAGCTTTCATAAGACACAGGGAAAAGGGACTTGGTGGGGCCCTTTCGCCCTCCCCACGTGGGAGCCTGTACTCGTTCTTCAATCAATCTGCACCTTTGCTAGACCACTTTCTGTCCCGGGGTTCATTCTTCGATTCTAAAGAAGAAAGAGCCGAAACCGGTTTGGCTCAGTGGCTAGAGCATCGGTCTGCGGGCTGAAAGGTCCCGGATTCGATTTCGGTCAGGGGCATGGACCTTGGTTGCGGGCACATCCCCAGTGGGGGGTGTGCCGGAGGCAGCTGATCGATGATTCTCTCTCATCGATGTTTCTAACTCTATCCCTCTCTCTTCCTCTCTGTAAAAAAAAAATAATAATAAATAAAAATAAATCAATATTTAAAAAAAATAAAGACGAAAGAATTCAGGTTCCAGTCCAAAAATTCGGTATCCCTGGCCTGCGGGCTCGATTCCCAGTAGGAGGCGGGCAGGAGGCAGCCGATGGATGATGTTCTTCTCTCAGCCATGTCTCTTATCTCTGTCCCTCTTCCTCTCTCTCTAAAAGTCAATAAAGACATACTTCCTTTGACAGAGGGAGAAGGAGAGAGTCACGCACTGGCTGCTTTCTGCACACCCCCTACGTGGTGCAGGGGACATCACCCAGACAACTGGGCACACTGGCCAGGCCAGGACGGACAGAATTTTACTTTCTTAAAAAAATATATATTTTATTGATTTTTCCACAGAGAGAAAGGGAGAGGGATAGAGAGCTAGAAACATCAATGAGAGAGAATCATGGACCAGCTGCCTCCTGCACACCTCCTACTGGGGATGTGCCCGCTACCAAAGTACATTTCCTTGACCGGAATTGAACCCGGGATCTTTCAGTCCGCAGACCAACGCTCTATCTACTGAGCCAAATCGGTTTCGGCTGGACAGGATTTAAAATATAATATTATATATTATTGGTTTCACAGAGGAAGGGAGGAGAGTGATAGATCCTCCCTTCCCCCAACTGGTGGACGAAGAATAACATAAACTCCACCTGCAGCCGGACATTCCTGAGGGCTGAACCACCCATCAGCACCTGCCAAGGACCCTAAGCCACCCCATTCCTGAGTCCCTAGGTCCCTAATCAGGTGCCTTACAGGAAACCACCAATCAGCGTGTGCCGAGTGCCCTAAGCCCCGTCCCTTCCCGATCCGCCCCTCAAAGGCGTGTTCCCCTCTGGAGGTGCTGTTATTCCCCCTGGTGGCGGAGGCGGGGTGGGGGGTGGGGGGTGGGGGGGGGGGTGGGGGGAACACAGCCGGGCAGGGGGCCTTCTCCTCCAATAAAGCCTGTAGGCCTGATTTTCGGCCGCTGTCTCATCTTTCAGGGAGGGTGTGCAGGAGGCAGCCGATGGATGTTTCTCTCTCATCGATGTTTCAAACTCGCTGTCCTGCTCTCTTCCTCTCTGTGAAGCGTCAATAAAATATATTTAAAAAACAAACTGCCCTAACCAATGTGGCTCAGTGGATAGAGCGTCGGCCTGCGGACTGAAAGGTCCTGGGTTCAATTCCGGTCAAGGGCATGGACCTTGGTTGCGGGCACATCCCCAGTGGGGGGTGTACAGGAGGCAGCTGATGGATGTTTCTCTCTCATCGATGTTTCTAACTCTCTATCCCTCTCTCTTCCTCTCCATAAAAATAAAATAAAATAAAATAAAATAAATTAAAAAAATCAATAAAATATATTTTAAAAAATTAAAAGTTATTTGATTTTCTGATAATTAAATAACTATCCCAACCCTCCATGGATGGTGGTCTGAATGTCCCATGGATGGTGACCTCACTGGTCCCTGAAGCACATTCTCTGGGACCCAGGACAGCTCAGTGACCCTGAATTGTCTCAGTGGCTGCAGATAACTGATGTCAGTTGACTCAGTGGTCCCAGAATCAGAAGAGCACAGATAGTGCATTCCTGTGGACTCAGGGGTCCCGGAATCCGGACAGCACCATTATCCTAAATGGCCCAGGTGGTCCACCCCAGATGACATGCTTCTGTGGACTCAGTGACACGTAGACACTTCAGGTCACTAACCCGCTCAGTCCCACGTCTGTCACATCGGGAAGCAGGCTTGCACCCCAGACCCAGAGACAGAATGATGCCTCAGTGACCTTCTGCCCATGAGCCAGGCTGGCGAGCTGTCTGGGCTGCGAGGTCTGGGGTGCCTCGTAAGCCGCCAGCTGTTAACAAATGACCCCGTAACCGGACTTCCTGAGGCGCCCTTTGTGAGATGGGGTACACACAACATTCTGTCTCTCTCCCTCTCCCTTCCTCTCTGAAATCAACAAATATATATATATATATATATATATATATATATATATATATACACACACACACATATACATATGTATATATATATATATATATATATATATATAAACAAAATAAAGAAATAGAGCTTTGTTAAAAACAAAACAAAACAACCCACAAAAAACACAAACAAACAAAAAACAACCACACACAGGAAAGGTGGCAGCAGATGTCGCGTGAAAACTACTGAATCTGCCCAAGCCGGCTTGGCCCGGTGTATAGAGAGAGCATCAGCCTGTGGACTGAAGGGTCCCAGGTTCGATTCCGGTCAAGGGCATGTGGTTGCGGGCACATCCCCAGTAGGAGGTGTGCAGGAGGCAGCTGGTCGATGTTTCTAACTCTCTATCCCTCTCCTTTCCTCTCTGTAAAAAAAAAAAAATCAACAAATATATTTTTAAAAATAACTAGAAATACATTTAACCAAGCAAACAAAAGACCTTTACTCATCCATGTGTAAAATACTGAAGAAAACAAACTGAAGAAGATAACAAATAAACGAAAGCCTATACCGTGGCCATGAATAATGTCCGGACCGCCAGAGCAATCTTTAGATGCAACACAATTCCTAGCACAGCGCCACGGGCGTGTGTCACAGAACTGGAACACGGACTCCGAACTTTATCCGGAACCACCAAAGACCCCCAAGCAGCAACAGCAACCTAGGAAAGGAACAAAAGTTGGATGGATCACACCACCTGATGTCATCAAACTAGGCTTACGGTAACAAAAACAACATGGAGCTAGCCTTAAAGTAGACACAGAGGTCCATGGAACGGAACTGAGAGCCTACAAAATAAACCCACATCTCTACGGTCAATTAATATCTGGCAAAGAGGCCAAAACCACTTTTGGCTCAGTGGATAGAGCGTCGGCCTGCGGACTGAAGGGTCCCAGGTTCGATTCGGTCAAGGGCGTGTACCTTGGTTGCGGGCGCATCCCCAGTGGGGGGGGAGGTGGGAGGTGGGGAAGTGCAGGAGGCAGCTGGTCGATGTTTCTCTGTCATCGATGTTTCTAGCTCTCTCCCCCTCTCCCTTCCTCTCTGTGAAAAATCAATAATATATATATATATTTTTTTAAAAAATCTGACAAAGAAGGCAAAAACATGCAATTGGGTAAAGACCGTCTATTCAATATAAGGTGTTGGTAAAATTGGATAGGAACTATGCAGGAAAATTGCCAGAACCGGTTTGGCTCAGTGGATAGAGCGTCGGCCTGCGGACTGGAAGGTCCTGGGTTCGATTCCAGTCAAGGGCATGTACCTTGGTTGTGGGCACATCCCCAGTAGGAGGTGTGCAGGAGGCAGCTGGTCGATGTTTCTCTCTCATCGATGTTTCTAGCTCTCTATCCCTCTCCCTTCATCTCTGTGAAAAATCAATAAAATATATTTAAGAAAACAAAACAAGAAATGTGTAGAAAAATTAAACCGACCACCTTCTTGTACCACACGCAAGAATCAACTCAGCATGGATGAACAGGCCTTAAACCGGAGACGAGAAACGAAAAAACTCCCAGAAGGAAAACCCAAGTGGCAACATCCCCGACGTTTCTCGGAGCAATATTTCCTCCTGACACGCCGCCTTGGACAAAGGAAACAACAAGAACATTGAACAAATTGGACTACATCCAACTAAAAGGTGTTTTTTTTTGTTTGTTTGTTTTCTTTTCTTTCTTTTTTAAAAATGTATTTTATTGATTTTTTATTTTTTACAGAGAAGAAGGGAGAGGGATAGAGAGCTAGAAACATCGATGAGAGAGAAACATCGACCAGCTGCCTCTTGCACACCCCCTACCGGGGATGTGCCCGCAACCAACATACATGCCCTTGACCGGAATCGAACCCGGGACCCTTCAGTCCGCAGACTGACGCTCTATCCACTGAGCCAAACCTGTTTCGGCTGTCTGTTTGTTTTCTTTCCCACAGCAAAGGACGCCATCAACACAGGGAAAGCTCACCCACTGGATGGGAGAGCATATTTGCCAACGCTAGATCTGATAAGGGCTTAATTTACAAAATACGCAAATGCTCATACAGCTCAGCCAGAGGA